AAGAACAGGCAGAGAACTTGTGGCATCCTGGGAAGGCCTCATGGATGAGATAGCATAGTGTTTGAAACTTGAAATGACAATATCTCAATTTTCTTAAAATCGTGTCCCTTTTTGTAGATCAAAAAAATTGAACCACCATGATCTCCTTCGATGTTATTGAAATTTCAAAATAAATTACTTTCTATGATTACTATTGTAATTTATTACCAAATAATTGAATGCTCTTACCAATGGCACTAGCCCCTCCTACTTTGAGCTACTGTTTGAGGTTATACAACGTTTTTATCCAAGAGAAGAATTTTATTTAAAGTGACAGCAAGTTTTTAAGGTGGTTTTTTTGTTTTTGGTGAAGGCAGCTGGGAATTAGACAAAAGTACTAGGTTTTGAATGATTCCCTTTTTTTTAAGCATTTGCATTTGTATCTTTTAAGTTGATGTGCTGGTTTCATATTCTTAGTGATTTCTTTCATTTTCTATTTTAAATGTTTGCCTAAATTCCCTGTGCAATTTTTTTTTTTTTTTTGGTGAGAAAGATCAGCCCTGAGCTAACGTCCAATACCAATCCTCCTCTTTTTGCTGAGGAAGATTGGCCCTGGGCTAACATCTGTGCCCGTCTTCCTCTACTTTATATGGGACGCCACCACAGGATGGCTTGACAAGTGGTGCGTCGGTCTGCTCCTGGGATCTGAACCTGTGAACCCTGGGCCGCCAAAGCGGAGAGTGGGAACTTAACCGCTATGCCACTGGGCTGGCTTCCCTGTGCAAATTTTTAAATGCATAATTTTTTAAATTACCAGCCTTTTGGGCTACCACATTATATCATCCAGTAAATAAAAACTCCCAAGATAATTCTCTCAAGGACCATCTAAATATCAAAAATTATGCTTCAAAAACATTGTGGAGTGCATTTCCAAGTTCAGTATGAATGACTTGGTCTGTCCCTCATTTTAGATTATCTGTCTTTAGGGGCACAGGCTGTAAGAGCCCTTAAAATATATCATGAAGTACTGATGTGCTTGTTCTGCATAGTATGTGCTTTCCACCAGAAATACAGCCTTTTAAAATATGACATGTAATACAGACAAATTAACAGTGTATTAAGTAAAAATGTTGGTTTGTAGTAAAAACTTTTAAATGGCAGCTAATCTTCGCCTTGAAGCCTTGAGAACCAGAGGAAAGTCTTCATCCTCCTTCCTCTAAGTCCCTCCTTTGTTCTTAAGACCCCAAACTCAAACTAATGCTACAAGTACTAACAACCTTATGGATTAACCAGCCATTGTTGGGATAGCTTGGGAATCTGACCACCATTTTTACAGTATTTCCTTGGTCAATTTCAGTCTGCCTTCAAGCAAGTGATTTAAAATTGAATTTAGGAATTCTGTTTCTTAGAGATGCTGCAAATCTTCTGCCTGTCCCCCATAATTCCTACCGCAATCCTCTAATGACTGCAAGACATCACAACTGCTTATTGAATGAGGGAAAGGTCATTTTTTTGTCAATGAATAATTTAAATCTATAGCTAGCCATCAATATATTTTTAAGTAACTGACTCATACTACTACTCTTAAAGTAAACTCATAAATGTAAAGTGAAATCCTAAAGCAATGTATTTGGATTTTATATCTTTGAAAATTTTAGTAAATTCAGAGGGAAATCTGTATAAAATATGACTTTTTTATTATAATTTTATTCTGAGATATGGTTGCAGCAATGTATTAATTACTTCTTAGGAAAAGAATGATTGTATTTGCTGCTTATGCATTTACATGTTTTTCAGTAAAATATAGCTAATGGGTTCAGAATATACATATATATGTATATATACACGTGTATATATATACACAATTGTATATATATATATTTTTTTGTAAGGAAGCATCAGCCCTGAGCTAACATCCATGCCAATCCTCTTTTTTCGCTGAGGAAGACTGGCCCTGGGCTAACATCTCTGCCCATCTTCCTCTACTTTATATGGGACGCCGCCACAGCATGGCCTGACAAGCTGTGCATCCATGGGCGCTCGGGATCCGAACCTGGGCCGCCAGCAGCGGAGCGCATGCACTTAACCACTATGCCACGGGGCCGGCCCCCTGTATATATGAATAGTGTATATATATACATATATACATATATATACACACAAAACTATATATAGTTTTGCAGAATAATTATGGGGAAAACACAGCCATGGTTATTTTTGACTTATTGACCATTTTAGTTTGTGGCAGACACCATCTGAATTCTCATGTTAAGATGGCATTTTGTGAACGTGAAGACACCAGTTATTCCCAGTGGGATGGTGACTTCATTTGGCCTCTCACTGCCTGTTGTTTTATTGTGGGTACATCGAGAGAGACATTATTTCCCACAAAAGGGTCCGCCAGCCTGTTAAGTAATAACAACCTTTCTCACCCTGAAACAATGAAGGATCAGATGATTGCAGCCTCAGACAAAAGATTCCCACTCCCTTTTCAGAGCAGATTATAGTCATGATTCCCCCCACCCTGGTGAGCCTGGCACTCAAGAATATCTAGTTTAGTCCTTTCTTTGTTAATAGACAATCATAAAGGGGTCTTTGTTGTACCACTCATTTGTTCCAGCAGGATGTATCCATTATTTCGTTCTGCTGCTTGGTACATGCAGCAGTTTCTTCAATAGTATCTTGAATTGTGTTGTTTTCCTTTTGTCATGAAGCTTAAGCTTCATCTAAATAATTACTTTTGTTCAGAAATTAAACCCCACAAACCAAATGTTTTTACAGACACATTGACTCTGAGAATGTTCTTTGCCCCATGTAAAATCAGCCTCAATTCCTGATTAGATTCCCTTTCTGTCCCCATTAATTTCTAGGTTGTTTGGGTCCTGGGAACACTCGTTTGTGGCTTATCTAATGACCACATTTTGTGTTTAATGGATTTGCTGCCATTTAGAGCAATTTGGAGATACCCTTATGACTAGGATCTTATTCATTGTTTTGGCAGAAGATGAGGGGGATTAATTATAAGGGTACTGAATGAAGTCAGGTGACTCTGAGATGCTCTAGTTTCTAAGCAAGGGAAGTAATGGGAGAAGTTGAACATCATGTTTCTGAAACCATTGAGCACATCTGATTTATTCACAGTCGTTGCAATCAGAACATTATATGACATAACTCACTCTCTCTCTCTCTTTGACTTGGAAAGTAACAGAGTAAGGTTTCATTCAAAACTTATTCTTTCATTCAAAATCTTAGAAGTGCTTACTATAAAGAATATAAAACATAAAAGACATTTTTTTGGTGTGTCAACTTCTCTTAGATAAGAATCATGTATAGTCTAGTGAATTTCTGCACGGAGAATTCCTGAGAAGGTTAATGGGCCTTTTCAGACTCAGCACGATTCTAGTTACACCCTTGTAAAATAGATTCTTTGATATTATTGCCTCTCAGTTGTTTTGAAAGACACAGTAGTGTAACTATTAAGAGCCTAAACCTAGAGTCAGAATACCTGGATTTGTGTCCTGGTTCTCCTGTTAACTAGCTAATTAACTTTTTTAGGCCTCAGTTTTTCTCATGTGTAAAATGGGGATAATGGCGTCTACTTATAGATTTGTTATAGTAAATGTATTAAATGAGTTAATACACATAAGGTGTTTAGAACAGTGCCTGGCAGTGAGTGCTCTATGAGTGTTAGCTGTATTTTTTTTTTATCATCTTAAACATAACATTTGAATGCCTACGGATTTTTTTTAATTTGTGGATTTAAAGAGATAATCTAGACTTAAAGCTTTCTCACTAAGTGAATTCACAGTCTATAGTGATAACACAGGTAGATATATTTAAGTTACTTCACCACGAGATAAATCTAGTGAGGAAATTAAACACTCAGCATGAATTCTTGTCTGTTGGAACGTGTTAGGGCCACCTTGTGGTCCTCGTATGACACATGGACTTTAACTTAAATTCGAAGAGCTTAGAATAATGATACTCGAAGTGTCACCACCTGCTGCAGTGTCACCAAGGTGGGTTTTATTTATTTATTTTTTAAATTTATTTTGTGAGGAAGATCAGCCCTGAGGTAACGTCCACGCCAATCCTCCTCTTTTTGCTGAGGAAGACCGGCTCTGAGCTAACATCTATTGCCAATCCTCCTCCTTTTTTTCCTTTTTCTCCCCAAAGCCCCAGTAGATAGTTGTATGTCATAGTTGCACATCCTTCTAGTTGCTGTATGTGGGACGCGGCCTCAGCATGGCCGGACAAGCGGTGCATCGGTGCGCGCCCGGGATCCGAATCCGGGCCGCCAGTAGCGGAGCGTGAGCACTTAACTGCTAAAGCCATGGGGCCAGCCCCCAAGGTGGGTTTTAAAAATGTAAAATCCAGGGCCCTCTTTGCACAGACTGAGCCAGAATCACTGGGCGAGGAGCCCAGGAATCTACATTTTTAACAGGTTTCCCTGATGATTCTTCTACACACTGAAAATTGAGAGCAGTTGCTATAGAACAGGGGCTCTCAACCCAGGTGCTCACTAGAATCTCTTGGGGAGCATTTAAAAGACACAGGTGCTTGGATCCCAGGCTCAGAGAGTCTGACTTAATTGTTCTGCAGTGTGGCACCGGGCATTAGGGTTAGCAGGCGATTATAATGTGCAGCCAGCGTGGAGAAGCAGTGGCATTAGGAGATGAGTAGTGAAGGTGATGTTGACAGAGTTTACTTACTATATCAGGGATGTAAGCTGACTTGGTGTTTTCAAAAAGTCATTACAGTGGTTACCAGGAACAGGGGGAAATGGGGAATTATTGCTTAATGACCACAGAGTTTCTGTTTGGGATGATGAAAAAGTTCTGGAAATGGATGGTGGTGATAGTTGTGCAACATTGTGAATGTACTTAATGCCTCTGAACTGTGCGCTTAAAAATGGTTAAGATGGTAAGTTTTATATTATGTATATTTTACCACAATAAAAAAAATAGTAGAAAAAAGCCATAAGGTCACATCTCTGGACCTTAATTTTTTTCTTTTCGCAGTGACAGTGTATCATGCGTGCCACTAATTCCAGGGGACACTCCCCTGCTTTCCTGCAACCTCAGAATGGAAACAGCCATCGCTCGTCTGGCTATGTTCCGGGGAAGGTTGTCCCACTGCGTCCCCCTCCTCCTCCAAAGAGCCAAGCTTCAGCCAAATTGACCTCCATCAGACAAGAACCCCGGGCCACCTTTGCATTCTCACCTGAAGAACGGCAAGCCCAGAGAGAGAGCCGAAAGCAGAAGAGGCACAAAAATACTTTCATTTGCTTTGCTATTACTAGCTTCTCATTTTTTGTTGCACTGGCAATCATTTTAGGAATATCCTCAAAATATGCTCCAGATGGTAAGTGCGTAAGTGTGTGTGTGCACGTAGAACATATTCTAGGAGAAGAAAGGAGGGGAGGAAAGAGTAGAATAAACATTTTTAAAATCTTTTCTTATCTCAAGTTGGGTCTAGCTAACTCATACTACCATTAGGTAATGTGAGGTCTAACTTCTTACAAATGAGAACAATTGTTAAAGGAATCCACTGGAAATGATACCATTAAAAGATTGCTCTTGCTTTCCATTTTGCCACTTTGTCTCAGTGCTCAAGACATTCTTGGAGCATTTCTTTTCAAAATGCCAATTTTAAAAGTCTTTCCTTAATTCTTGTGATAGCACCATTTCATCCCTTGTGGGAGGTATGATTTTCAGACCGCCCGAAGTTTTTTTGGTCATTAAGGTAGTGATAAACTACATTTGATTTTTAAAAAAATAAGTGAAAATAATAAGATTTGAGTTCTGGGTTTGAAACTGGCTGGGGAGGCAGTTCCAAAAGAGAAGCTTCAAATATTTTTGAGGAACAATGTATATTCTTTTTTTTGTGTGTGAGGAAGATCAGCCCTGAGCTAACATCTATACCAATCCTCCTCTTCTTGCTGAGGAAGACTGGCCCTGGGCTAACATCTGTGCCCATCTTCCTCTACTTTATATGGGACGCCGCTACAGCATGGCCTGACAAGCGGTGAATTGGTGTGCGCCCGGGATCTGAACCCCGGGGCGCCAGCAGCAGAGGGCGCGCACTTAACCGCTACGCCACCGGGCCAGCCCCAGCAATGTATTTTTTTCTTAAAGGAAAACATCCATTAGGGGGTATAAGTTCTGATGTATTCGTCTACAAATCACTCATTACTTCATAGTTAAACATCATGTAGGGAGGTTTCAATTTCTTAAATGGCCTTTGCTTTTCAAGTTGGTAGTATATCAATACTTGAGTGATTTTGAAGAAGTTTGTTGTCAGCCTCAATATAATACCAACGAAGAATGGCCTCATAACAGAATCCTATCCATCCTTCTGAAAATCAGAGGGCTCAGCGCTGTGGAAGGAGAAGCAGACCATAACAACCTGGATTGAGCACCATGGTTATCTGCATTTTTTTACAGTGTACAACAGATTTTTGTCGAATTAAATGCCTCCGTAAATGGATATAACATTTGAGAAGTACCATTTATAAGACTTGCAAATATTATTTTATTTAGGTTTCATGGGTGCTTTAGGGGTTTTACAAACTTTAAGGTCCTGGAGGAGGTAGTGTCAATATTTCTAAGAGAATAGACCTGAAGTAAGAGAGATGTTCATATCAGCATCTTTGTTGACCACGCCAATAGACCAGATTATGAACTTTTAACTTTGCTTTCCATTGCACATAGCTTTGACTTTCTCTCCCCTTTTCTCCAGAAGAATAACCAAGTTCACTGCTGTTGATTCATTCTTTCCAAGTAATCTGCAATAAAAGAATTCTAGATTAGTGGAAACCAGAGCTGAAATCTGTGGCTTTACTTGATGTTTTCATATTCCTTCTAAGACATTCAATTGCTGATGTGGTTCCTTGAATCAACATTCTTTAGTTTCACATTTTGGCAGCATAAGTGCAGAATATCAGTGGAAAGATCTGGTATGCTGAAATATTTCAGGGTCAGCTTCACTGTGGTTATTGCTGTTACGTAACTTCGATAATGCACCCACTGCTCAACAAGTGGGTAGCTGGGAACATGGGGCTGGCTGAGCTATTTTTCAGTGCTTTCTGTAGACCACACATTTTCTCATTAAATGTACTTTACTGGAAGGAAACAGCCTGGAATTTTTGGTGATGGTTCTAAGGAAGCATGTTCTCCTGGGGAATAATTATAAACAATTGAGGGGGATTATATAACTGTTAGTAGGCTCTAGATCTCAAAAGACTGGATTTTCTGTTCCATGGCTGAGTACAGTGCTTGTTACATGGGGCATACATTTGCTTGTGATACAACATGATGGAGAAGTCCAGCTAGATGTTTTATGGGAAGAGAGGGAAGTAGAAGAAAAGTTCAAGAAATCCTCAGTATTAATTTAGAAGAAATTCGAGAGATTTCTTATCTCTTCGATGGGAAGAAAAGTTTAAGGATTATTCTTAGTATAATATAATCACTGATTTAAAAGAAAAACTAAATATCAATGATTATGAAACTGCTGTGAGAAAAATCAATTCCATGGATAATAGCCAAGGACTTAACTAGCGAGACTAGTTTTACCTGTAGTAGTTACTGTCACACCTCAAAGAGAAAGTATAAGCCTAGGGCAACATGAGTGCTTAGAAATAAGATGTTTGCGTGAATGTTATGCAAATTCAAAATGAGGCATGAGAATTTTCTTTCTGTATAGAATACTGTCTTTGTGCTGCACCCAGTGTCTCTGCCTTTACTCATGTTATTCCTAAACACGTACCTTCCACCTTAATGACTCCCAAGCATATCCTGCCTATTCCTACCTTTGCTTAGTTTAAATTTAGGTTACACCTTGCTATTCTAGCTGAGTGACCACCTGGACTTGGAGAGCAAGGGATTCTTTGCATCACTAGTGTTCTTATCTTCCCCTCATACTCCTCTTAGTTAAATACGATGCATCCTCTGGGTGTCTAGGTCTAGTGTCACCTGTTCCCTTGAAGCTGCCTCAGTTACTGCAGCCCCACCCCTCCCTTCTCTGAGCTCTTTTGCACCTAAAGTACCTACCACATTGTTCAGTATTCAGTTAATTTCATATATGGTGGCTTTTTCCCCCAAGCTAGATTATAAGCTCTGAGGGCTGTGAGCTCGTTTTATGCTTTATACATTTTATAGTATCTGGTACAGAGTGGACAAATTGATCCTCAGTAAATACTTGGTCATTAGTTGATCAAAACTGATGTGTTTTTTTCCCCCTCTTCCAAAGTAGAGCCAAAACTAAAGGTCTCCTGCGTTAAATAGCTGTGGCAATGTGGCATACTTTATGTTTTCATCATCACCTTTTCAGGAGGCAAATTGCAATTCCAGTGAAGGAACACTGCAAGTAAAGTAAACCTCATTTCTCAAAGGGGAACTTACATATCACTCAACTTGCTGAGTAATCTTGGGTTTGGCTTCTCTAATCTGTAGTTTCCTCGTCTCTGAAAATGAGAAGTCATATCTTTGGCTCTTTGCCTCTTACAGTTTCGTTGGGAAACTGTTCATGTCTGAAGATAGTGATATTTGTCAGATGCTGCCTTTGGAATGAAAGAAGTGCTATTCCCGCCTGCTTTATGATTCACTGTGCAAGGGAGAAACCTGGGCAGACCTAATATATATATTGCTTAGCAATTTCCATTTTTTATTTACCAGTTTGTTGTGAACATATTTTCTTTTCTAAAACAGCTTTCTAGTGTGAGTTCAAGGACAATTCACACTTTTGCCTCTTACTGTTGATTTATTTCCAGAGGAGATGATTCAGGGAACTCCATTTTTACCTTGTGGAGATTGACCCAAACTAGATGATTGACAGCCACTTAGTTTTGTGATGAACCCGTTTTTATGTGTTGAGGAAGTCAAGAATTTGACATATCTCTGCTGGCTGGGGTGGGATGGGATTTCCATCTTAATGGCAGGAAATTAAAATATGTCAGCCCATTACATGCAGATTGCTTGGATTTGGATAAAGGTATTCTTGCATTTTGTTGGGTTGATGGGATATCGATGTTGCATTGTTTTATAGAGAATTGCCCAGATCAAAACCCCCGTCTCAGGAACTGGGATCCAGGACAAGATTCTGCAAAGCAAGTTGTTATCAAGGAGGGTGATATGTTCCGTCTGACCTCAGATGCCACAGTAAATTCTGTAGTCATTCAGGATGGAGGTACGTAATGGTCCCTGTCTGTGGGAACTGCAAGGTTGCTCTTTACAATGGAGGAACATTTGATGTTCTTTATGTAGAAGACTATCCTTAGCTTTTAGGATGTGGTGTCAGGCCAGCCACCGAAACATGAGAAGTTCCTAAGGTAGAACTGTAGAATTCAAAAGCTAGAAGGGCCTTACAAGTTACTCAAGTCAAGACTCTTGATTTATAGAAAACGAAACAGTTCCAGAAGGTGATCTCTCTTAGCTAAATCTTTGTTACAACTGTGGAAGCATAATGAGAGAATTAACATGGGTTAACGTGTAAAAATGAGATTCAGATTTGTAGGCTCTTAGATATATATATTTTTTTTGGTGAGGAAGATTGGCCCTGAGCTAACATCTGTGCCAGTCTTCTTCTATTTTGTATGTGGGACACCACCACAGCATGGCTTGAGGAGTGGCGCATGGGTCTGTGCCCAGGATCCGAACCCGCGAATCCTGGGCTGCCGAAGTGGAGCACATGAACCCAACCACCATGCCACCGGGCTGGTCCTAAATATTTTTCTGGAAATGACTTACCTCTAAAGTGAATAGATCGAAATTCATACACATGGGCATTTTTAGTGTGTTGAGATGTGAACTCTTCATTTCTTCCTTTACTATGTTTTGAAAATAGATTTAATTTTCTAAGCAGATGCCTAGTAAATTCTTTTTCCCAACTTAATTGTGGCAGTGTCTATTTTCCCTCTTAAGGTGAAATCTATTTCTCTGTATCTCAGAAAGGCGTTGCAGAAGTTGGCTTACGCTAGTGTTGTTCCCTGCAGGACTGCTTGTATTTGGGGACGATAAAGAGGGATCCAGAAATATTACTTTGAGGACTCGTTACATCCTGATCAAGGATGGTGGGGCGCTTCACATTGGAGCAGAAAAATGCCGCTATAAATCCAAAGCGACAGTTGCCTTGTATGGCAAGTCAGATGAAGGTGAAAGTACGCCAACATTTGGCAAAAAATTTATTGGTGTGGAAGCTGGCGGCACACTGGAGATCCACGGAGCACAGAAGGCATCGTGGACGTTGTTGACGAGAACTCTGCATTCCTCAGGCTTGACCTTTGGGTCTTATGCCTTTGAAAAGGACTTTTCCAGGGGCCTCAATGTGAGGGTCATTGACCAAGACACGGCCACAGTTTTGGAAAGTGCAAGATTTGATACCCACGAATACCACAACGAGAGTAGGCGACTTCAGGAATTTCTGCGAGTCCAGGATCCGGGACGGATTGTCGCTATAGCTGTCGGAGATTCAGCTGCCAAAAGCCTCTTACCAGGAACCATACAAATGATCCAGGACCGGTTGGGAAGTAAGCTGATCCAAGGACTGGGCTACAGGTGGGAGGACTTTTTAACTTTCCTTCCCAGCTATGTATCGGGGTCTGTGTCTGTGTGAGAGGAGTGGGAGGGTGGAGAAAGAAACACAACACACCACAGCCTGACTTCAGGTGTCAGAACAGCCACCACCATTGGGAGGTCTGGTTGCCTCTTGCTTTGAAACATGGGACTGGAGGACAAGACGCTGGTTACAGAAGCTCTTGTCTTGGCTTTGGTTTAGGAAGCACTTTGTGAACTGTAGCATCGGCTTGTGAAAAGTTAAGAACAGAAATGTGGTACTGAGAAGCAGTCAGGCAGTTTAAGGACAATTCACTTCCCTCTTTCATTAGCTTCTGAATGAAGATCATAGGAAACTCAGGCTAACTGAGGCAACTTAAGGCTAATTGAGTTGAAAGCTTAGGGTCCAGTTCAGAGCGAAGGTGTAAAAATTGTCTTAAAAGCCTGAGGGAGTGGAACATGCACAGTTTTCTTTTTCTTTCTTTTTTGGAATCCTTTGCGGGCTAATCTGAATGTGCTTGTTTGATTGCGGCGCGTCTATGGAGAGAGGAACAAGTTGGAGCGCTAGGTAATCAGATAGTAGCATTCATTTCTGTATTTATGGTTCTTGTGCCATATTCTAGTTAACCATGATTTCCTATTGCAGCCCTGAGTCTGAGGAAGGAGCTGGCTCAACACTTAATTGAAAAAACAGAAGTTTTAATTCTGCTTACTGTTCTTAGTAAAGTCGGGAAATTATCTGCAGTGAAAAGTGAGAGGACTTCAAAACTCACATGTTGAAATGATCTCATTATTTTTTCCTTTGATGGTAGAATGATCTAATTATTTTTTCCTTTGGTCGGTTGTTGGAATGGAATATTATCTGTAGGAATTCTAGAGAAAGTTAAGAAGACAAAAATTAGTGAAGAAACAGGATCCGTAATGTTTTAAAAATGCTTTTATTCACCCAGGGAATATTTAGGAGATGCTACGTGCTTGGTACCCATGGATGCTTAGATGAAAGGGCACCATCTCAGAGCCCTCGTTTAATCTCGTGAATACACCGAGACCTAAATAGATGAGGACCATACAATGAGACGTTTGCTGCAGCTACAGGCTGTAATGGGAGTGTAAATAGAAGGGGCCCCCAGATCAGCAGGGGGATCAGTGGAGGCTTCCCAAAGAGGAGAGGCCTGAAGGATGTTTAGGAGTGTGCTGTGTAGGCAGTAGAGAAAGAAGGCTTTCCAGACAGAGGGAGTAGCATGTGCAAAACCTCAGAGGTGGTTTTTGTTTTTTTTTATTAAGTGTAATACACATACAGAAAAGTGCTAAAGACAAGAATGTAGAGTTTAATGAATTATCACAACGTGATACTTGGGTAGCTACCACCCAGGTCAAGAAATAGAACATTGCCAGAGCCCAGAAGCCCTGCTCCTGCCTCCTCCTATTCACTGATCACTCCCTCTGCTCACCAAAGGTAACTCGCTGAATTTGTGGAGAGCACTAATGTTTAGGTTTGCCTGTTTTTGAACTTCATATAAATGGAAGCAGACAATATATCACATTTGTGTCTGGCTTCTTTGCTCCACTCTGTTACTGAGTATGGTTTACATTGCTGCATGTAGTGCTGGCTTATTTCATTGCTGTTATCTTCTATTGTGTGACTATGCCACATTTTATTTACTGCTGGGCATCTGGCTGGTTTTCCAGGTGGGGCTTCTATTATAAAAAGAGCTTCTCTGGGGCTTGCCCGGTGGTGTAGTGGTTAAGTTTGCATGCTCCACTTTGGTGGCCCGGGGTTCGCAGGTTCAGATCCCAGGTGCAGACCTATGCATAGCTTATCAGGCCATGCTGTGGCAGGTGTCCCACATTTAAGGTAGAGGAAGATAGGCAGGGACGTTAGCCCAGGACCAATCTTCCTCAGCAAAAAGAGAGGGATTGGCAACGGATGTTAGCTTAAGGCTAACTTTCCTCACAAAAGAAAAAAAAAAAAAAAAAAATCTTCTCTGAATGTTCTTTTACGTGTCTCTTGATGCACCCGTGCACATATTTTTATACTTTATAAACCTGGAAGTGGAAGCTTGGTCTTTTCAGAGATGAACACCTACCTTGTTTTATTATCCAGTAATGCCAGGAATTACAACTTTTGTCTTTTTATGCCATTATTTTTCTAGATTTGTGTGATCACTAGCCACGAATATTTTGTTTGACTTTTTTTGATTCTTCTCCCTACTGGTTTCTAAATTCCCTTTAAAATATGCTGCTGATTTGATGGAGGAATTAAGAGTTGTGATCCTTTGCCAACGTTTCATTGCATTGACATTATCTCCGATGTACATAAACATACCCCTTTGAAGATAATGTTCTGGTGCGTTGAAATTTTCCTCAAGTGGAGGAGGGAAGTAGGAGTGTTTTGGAGATAAAGTCATTAGAATAGAACATTGTTTTATAGTTGCTGAGGCAGTTCTGGTAAATAAAGGACGCCTCTGATATTTTTCCTCTCCTTCCCTCTCAAATGGGAGATAATAAATTGAGACATTCTTTGTTTGATTCTTTCTGCTGTATCGAGGAATATAAATAGAGCTATAAACCATTGTCAGGCAAAGAGCAGCTAATCCACGCAGGAGTGGGTGTGGAATTTATAAGGATATAGGCGCTCGGGTAACTTGTATCTGTGAATATGCAGCCATCTGTCTGGCATAGATTACATTTGGTTTTTTTTTTCCTAGGGTAGGAAGTTGACATTTTTATTTTCATGTTTTAAACCAGGAGTCTTAAGGCAAATTTTCTGGCATTTTGTCTTTGTTTTTCTTTTTCTTTTTTTTTATTTTGTCCACAAGCTTGAGCAAGTCCCTGGGATGTTTAGTATCACAGAAATAAAATGGCATTTTCAAACACATTGCTTTCAACAAATAGACATATAGCATGTAAAATCTAAAATCTGTTGGATAGTGATTCTACAGTATTGATTTAAGAATGTTAGGAAACCAGTGACCCGGTGGTTCTCAGCCTTGCTTGCACACCTGAGAATTTTAACAATCCCATGTGCAGGGCCCATCCTCGATTATTTACGTCAGGATCTCTGAAGACTAGGACCCCCAGGCAATTGATGTGCAGTCAAGGTTGATAACTACTGCTCTGACCTCTGACCTCTAACTCTGGGGTTCTCAAAGTGTGGTGGTTAGACCAGGAGCATCAGCATCACCTGGGAACTTGTTATAAATGCAAATTCTCTGGCCCCACCTCAAACAATCAGAGTGGGGCCAGCAATCTGATTTAACAACCCCTCCAGGTGATTCTGATGCCTACTAAAGTCTGAGAACTGCTACTCTAATTCAGTGGTTCTAAAGTCTGGCTGCATGTTCAAATCACCCGGGGAAATTTAAAAACATACTCAGGCCAGGCTCCACCTGTAGACCTGGTGATTGCATCGGTCTGGGCTGGCTCTGAGCGTCAACATCTTCCTAAAACTCGCTTTGTGATTCTATGATGCAGCTAGATTGGAGAACATTACAGAGAGGAGAGTTGAAAAGAGAGCAGATGATGATCGTTTTAAAAGAAGGAAAATAAATGGGCTTGTGGCCAGAATGATAGTGAATGAAATGGGTGTGTATTGAGGAAGGAAGTCAATGATTAATTGAAGTCACAGTCATTGGTGTCTCACCTGTTAGAGCTGGACAAACAAGGATTTAAAATCCAGGTGCATTTCCTTCTGTGACATCGGTTATTTCAGTCAAGGTTTAGACTTGCAACCTCATATGGAAGAAGAGGTGGAGGGATTGACAAAAATGGAATATGAGAATTAAACAGCACCTGACATAACATCTGTGTCAGGGACTTGGGTCAGTACCGTGATAAATCATCAAATGTACGTGCTCTTTTTCCTTCTAGGCAAGCTTGGGCTTTGGTTGGTGTCATTGATGGTGGAAGTACTTCTTGCAATGAATCTGTGAGAAACTATGAAAATCATAGCAGTGGAGGGAAGGCTCTTGCCCAAAGAGAATTTTATACTGTGGATGGTCAGAAGTTCGCTGTGACAGCTTATAGTGAATGGATTGAAGGTAGGCAAGTACAGTTTATATTCTTGTAAGACATTGGTAAGTATCGTGATGGGTTTTTTTTTTTCTTAATATGGTATTATATTCAAATGACAGTCTGGTTAGATTTCTCACCTGGTTGAAGATGAAACCTATAGTTAGTTTCTGTACTTGATCTTTTAGACTCAAGAGTTCTTTCTGGACTAGAGAATCATCTGTTCTAGTTTGGGCACCCCCAACTGAACTTTGTTCTTGATTCTTGAGTCATATAGTGTGATTAACTAGTAGAAATGGATTTGTTTCCTGGATTTGATACCAGTTGAACCAATCTGGATGTGGTAGGGTGAGCTGTCTTTGGTTATGCTCCATGACTGTGAACATGATCTTGTACTTTGGATCTTCTCTTTATGAAGATATGTCAGCAAATATTACCTTTGAACACATACTATGTGAACAAACTTCTCATTTTCTTAGCAGTTTTTCCTTGATGATCCGGCTAATACATTTATCTTACGACAAATTGGAAAACAGAAAGTACAAAGTAAAAATTAATCTTTGACCCTATCATCCAAAGATAATTATTTTGGTGCAAATAATCTAGTATTTTTTATCATGTTCCCTCCCCTAGTGTTCATTTTGTTTTAACCTGTTTTCCTCTCTTTAAATAACATATTGTAAAGTTATCCTATGTCTTTACAGTTTCTTCAACATAATTTTAGTCCATCTTTCAGAAGAACTATAATTTGTTTGAATAATGTCAGCATTATTGCACTGGGTATTTAGGGTGCTTCTAACATTTTTCTCTTAAGGATGTTCACTGTAGAATTTTTTTACTTACCTCCTTTGCTGCTAGATTTTTTGGCTTCAGGTATAGATTGGCAGCTCCTGTCTGTGCTTGCCCACCACCTTTCCTTTCCAACCAAATATTATACCAAAATTAATGTGAAATGAGTAATTAAAAGGTGCTTTATTATATCTGCAATTGCCCAGAAAGGCTTATTTTAGACTGGGCTCATACCTCTGTTTTTAGCAGCAATGTAGCAAAGTGTTTACTAAAATGGATTTCTGGAGACAGAATGCCCGGGTTCATATCCCAGCTCTTTCACTTACTGTATGATGGTGGGCGTGTGACTTTAACTTCCTAACCCTCGTTTTCCTAATCTGAGAAATGGGGATAATGACTGAAACTACCACGTAGAGCTGCTGTGAGTATCAAATATGAAGAATATGAAGTTTTTAGCACAGCGTGTATAGTAAGCACTCAAATGTTAGCTCTACTAATGATGATGCAAACATGACTTGGGTTATAAAGGTGTATTTTTTATCATTGTAATTAAAGAGAGAAAGTCTTTTGCCTTAAAACAAACAGATAGATTTCCTACTATGTAACAAGGACTTGCACATGTTGCCTCTAAGCAACCTTCTGGGTTTGAGGTGAGGAGATGGTATGTGTTATGGATGAGGAAGCTGGAATCAAGCCTCAGTTTCCTGCCTCCAAGACTACTGCTCTTTCTACCACATCGTGGTTAAAAAGCATAGATGGGTGAGAAGCATTTCTCAGCAGGAATTTGGACCTTCATGAAGAATTTAGTGCAACTGTCTCCAGTGAGATTCCAGGCAGAGGATAATTACTGACAAACCTCAAGTCAACATTTCCTTTGTGAAGAATTTTGTTTTCATTTCCACATTACCCACGACTACTCATTTTTGGAAGCGGGTACATGCTAGCTATCTTTCGTAGGATATTGTTTATGCCCCATGTTCTCAGTGACTCTTACTTTCTGCAAGAGGTGGAAATTCTCTCCAGGAAGCAGGGAGGATGAATTTATTTCCTTTCCTACTTCCAATTCAGTAGTGCTGACAGGAGATAATCTTAGGCAGGATTTTCTTTTAAAACCAGAAAAAATTAAGGAATTATTGAATAATTCAGATCTTCCCCATCTAGCCTCGGGCTTCATTTTTAAAAACAGAAACAAATTCTAATGACCTTTTAAGTTGGAACTTATTTATCTAGTGGTCATCTTTTTTTTAAGCATTATTGAAATTTTATATGAAAAAATTAATGTTTCTTAGTTGCCCTTTTTTAGATAAATTTTTTTTTGGTAAAAATCTGAAATTTGGGGTGGTGATTACTGTTGCTGCCATGAGGTTTTTGATTATCTTTGTTGTTAACCTGCCTGTTTTTGATTCTTGGGAAGGCAGAATAATATAGAGGTTAGGAAATCGGGCTCTGGAATTAGATTAGCATCCACTTATGGGCTCTACCATTTTTAGGCTGTAATTCAAACTCCCTGAACTTTAACTTCTTCATCTCTAATGCATATAATAGTTCCTCTCTCTCAAAATTGTTTTGATGAAAGGTTATTAGGCATATGAAGTTCTAATAGCTGTTAATTACTGCTATTATTGTTAGAGTTATTATTATTATTTGGACAAAATCCCATTATAGGTTTTAGTATCTGGATGCAAGGAATATATATATATTTATTAAAAAAAAAAAACACTTTACATTTATTAGGTACCTTTTTTTGGTGCTTTGTAGATGCAAAAAAAAAAACCACAAAAACTAAACAGCAGAGTCTGAAGGAACAGCATCCATGACTTGCTCAGGTTAGGTTTCATCAGGATAGTTAGCTCAAATCCATAAGGATACCTATATTACTCCTTGTGCCATGCCTGAATTTGCCTCCTTTTGATTCTGTTAAGTAAAGGTGTTTTTTCGCTCCTATCATTGTCCCTGAGAGTCATTATCTTAAAGGAACACCGGATCAGTATGCCAGTTAATTAGAAGGATGATAGAGAAGTATAGATATTTAGTAAAAAGATATCTTTGGAATGTGGTGTTTTTCCTTCTCCACCAATTTTGTGAAGTAGCTTCCGTCTATTCCATATACATTTCCATTAAGTCAGCTTTCGGCTTACAACAGATCATACCACGGATGTTTGAGAAGCAGGAAATGCTTCTACACTTGGTTGCATGTAAAAGAGTATAAGGAATGATGGAGAAGCTGGATCAGCTTTTCAGTTTTTGTCTGCCTAGTTAATGGGGAACCAATTTTGAGTTTTGAAAGGAGGTATCAGGAGAGATCGTAGTTGGTCATCCCTGGATTGCACAGTTGATCTTATCCCAGGAGAGGAGCTGACTTGGACAGGGGCACTATCACACGGCCTTTGGGTCACATTGCAGATCATAGTGGGAATGCTTATCCATTCAACAGACATCTACGAGTCTGCACTATGAACAAAAAACACAGATGGACACCCTTTGCTGCCTTCACTGATATAAATTCTGAGGAGGTGAGCTATCTTCCCATTGGAAAGGTATGAATAATACCAGAATGGGGATACTGGAGAGAGAAGTTGCTTCCAGCAAGGATGTTTGGGAGGTCTTTAAAGATTCTCCTGAACTTTATAAGGAAGATAGTATCTGGGTTGGTGAATAAGAGTGGAAGGACATTGTAGGTAAAGAATAAAGCATGCGCAAAGGCACAGAAATGAGAGATTGCCTAAGATAAGCTTTTATTCTTAATATTAAGATTGTGTGAATGCTGACATCCTATCTCTTGTCCTGTGCACGGATTAAATTGAAGCGTTGGGTATTTATTACAGACCTATTCTGTGTTTGGCAGCTTCTGCCTGAATGTGATATGTTCTTATTACACTTTAAGGTGGTTTTGGAGCAGGATTACAGTTTTAGCACTGAGTTGAAGTACAGCAAGGGATTTGGGGATTGAGAGCCTTCTTCAAAATTATAAAAGAAGAGTTTACCAAAGTGACATCTTATACACCATCATGGTTAGTGGTTCATGGGACTCTCTCCCCTTGAGTGTGGGGATCTGTATTTTCATCTTTTAATCATAGTGTCTGCAGAGTGACTGGTGCATGGTTAGCATTCGTAAAAATTAGCTGACTTGTGTTTATCTTAACTTTTGATTTGTGAATCATGAGGGGGTTGATTTTAGAAAAAAAGAATTCCTACTAACGCATCACTGTCTTTGTTGCTTTTTGGTTTAGGTGTTTCTCTTTCAGGTTTCCGGGTAGAGGTCGTGGATGGAGTGAAGCTTCATCTGCTGGATGATGTTCGTAGCTGGAAACCTGGAGACCAGATTGTGGTCGCAAGCACAGACTACTCTATGTACCAAGCGGAGGAGTTCACTCTTCTCCCCTGTCCTGAGTGCAGCCCTTTCCAGGTCAAAGTCAAAGGTATCAGACTGCTCAGAATGCTTCTTAGGAAACACTCTTTTCTTGGGATTTGATTCCTGGAGTTATTTTTCTCCCCGGTCATCATCACCACCATTATCATCATCATGGTTATTATTATCATTATTATCATCATCATTATCAAAGGTCTTAGCAGTGGGGTAGATTGAACACTAGATCCCGGAGGATGTTAGATAAAAGTCGTTATTGAGCAGTAGTGTTGATGTTAATGATATGTAGCAGGCAAATCAGTGTTTCATGCCTGTTTCTTTGTTTAAAAAAAAAAAAAGATGCAGACTAGATGGATTGTTTTTTCCAGGGTCCTTTCCAACTGCTTTGTTATTAATTTTCCACTGTCAAATAACAGTAAACCCAACCATTCAACTCAATCCATTTTTTCCTAGAAGCCTGTCTGTTTTCTTAATTAAAAAAAAAAAAAAATCCCATGGTTTTTGAGTGCCCACTCCCTTGGCAAACAGTAGATCTCACTAATATTTAAAATGGAACCGAAAAGTACTTCATAAGACTATATTTCCTATCATAATCTTGAAATATATTTTTGGAGGGAGAGCAATGCATTATGAGACTCTGACTGTAAGTTGTGTTTAGAAAGAATGGCTGCCATTTACCAGGTACTTATTCTGAGCCTGGTCATGGGCAAAGCGTCTTTGTACATTGTCTCAGTTATGGAATTCATTGCACATTTCACTTATTGTATTGCTTTACTTCTGTACTCAAGATTATACATTTATGGTACAAAACAAGAGTTTACAGTAACTGTGTAATAAGTACTCACTCAGTGGGTAATTTAGAGCTTTGAAGTTTAAGGGAAAATTTTTGCTTTCAAAAAAAATAAGATGATTAGCTCACTTGGCATTTTTTGTCTGTGCATCATTAGTGTTGTACTTTTCCTTCTTGATAGTACAAGGCCTAAGCAAAAAACAAAGAAACCCCAATAAACTATGGTACCATCTGGTATTAATTTTATTTGGAAATTCCCACTCTTGTTAACAAGTCTACATGATAATCTCCATGGTCTCAACTCCCTGATCGATTTGTATTTTTCCTTCCTGAGTTTGTATAGTAAAGACATCAGAGAAAAGCTCATTATTAAAGTGTTTCTAAACTTCCAATAAAGGTGGGGATTTAAAAGAGTACATAATATTATTAAAATAAGAAGAAGGAGGACAGAAAAGATAGTAATTTCTGTACTATTAACGTGCCAATGCAGATTACTTTAGCTTTGAAGTAGAAGCAAAAAACTTGACACCCTGTTATCAACATCTACAAAGCCATTCGTGTTTCTAGACTCACCATGTATTTGGTTCTTCATGTGCCCTCAGGGGAGCAGAACAAGAGCATGTGGACAGTAACCAGAGAGAGAGTATGGATTCTTAGATAGATTCCAGATTATTGGTGATGTTCAAGAGAGAATTGAGCTAGTTCAGGGAGGAGCAAGCTCTCTGTTTGTGCGTGGGTTTGGCCGTTGGTAGTGAGGATTCAGGCACTGTGTGGTTGGTTAGACTAGATAATCTTTAAAATCCTTGCTTCCTGGGATTCTGTGATTCTGAGGTATTAAAGAATGGAAACAGATAATAAATTGTGATAATGTCTTGGAGTTACAGAATAAAGAGGACTGTCTGTGATGATAAGTTTCATGTTTTCTTTGTCCTGATACTATTTTTCTTTTGCCCACATCCACCAGAAACCCCTCAGTTCCTGCACATGGGTGAGATCATAGATGGTGTAGACATGAGAGCTGAGGTTGGAATTCTCACCCGGAATGTTGTGATCCGAGGAGAAATGGAAGACTCATGCTACGCTGAAAACCAGTGCCAATTCTTTGATTATGATACCTTTGGGGGACATGTCATGGTAGGCAAAAAGATTTAATGAGTTCTTTGAAACTCTGGTTGCCAAATACATGTTTAAAAAAACTTTCAACTTTTGGAATGAGATCTATATGGATATTAAAAAGAAATCAGGGGCCGGCCCCGTAGCCTAGCGGTTAAGTGCGCGCGCTCCGCTGCTGGTGGCCCGGGTTCAGATCCCTGGCGTGCACCGACGCATCGCTTGTCAGGCCATGCTGTGGCGGCGTCCCACATAAAGTGGAGGAAGATAGGCACAGATATTAGCCCAAGCCCAGTCTTCCTCAGCAAAAAGAGGAGGATTGGCATGGATGTTAGCTCAGGGCTCATCTTCCTCACAAAAAAAAAAAAAAAGAAAGAAATCATATTTTATTTCTCTATTCAATGACAATGTGGAGATTTTAGATAGATAAAAGAGAAAGTTATATCTTTATTTAGTTGACCTGGACCTGTAGTTAAACCATTTAAGAACCATCCGATGAAGAATTAAATCTATTTACATTGGGAAGAACCGATTATACAGAGACAAAAAAACAAATAGTCTTGGTATCCATCCATGCAATCTCTGAAAGAGTCCATTGGTTCTTTTTCAAACATGCTATCATGAAAGAGTAAGCAGTAGTAAAATACACATACAAAATCTGCTTCTGTAAACATATTTTTTGTATGCAGATTTTTATTCTATAAAATTATTGAGCACTTCCTATGTGGTAAGCCTCGCTCTGTGTACTAACTTATTGGACTTCTTGGCTGAATTTTGGCTACATGTGTTTTAAGAATCAGTTTTTGTGCATTGAGTAGACTATGGTTAGCAACATTCCTGTGACCATGATTTCTGAAATGTTGGTCAGCGTTATTCCTTTGTTTTTAGTCGTATGATTGAAAATCCAGTGGTTCAAAATATTGAGCGTGCTCCAATTTTGGATCAGAGGAATTTTTTAAAAACTGAAGTAAACAATATTATGTGCTAACGAAAACATTGAGGGACGATTTAGAAATAACTGTTTATCAAACTACAGCGGAAGTTATGGAAATGCAAGAACAAGATGAGCCTGAAACTGACCTAAATATTTGACCAAATCAAAACACATATACAAGAATCATTTCTGCAACTTTTCTGGTTACATTTCCTTTTATTTCTAATAAAAGGCTATTTCTATAGCTCTTTAAAGTATTCACTGTGTAAAGGAGCATTTGCTGAATTATTAACTGTGGGTCTGGGAAAACAGGATGCAAAAGAAAATATATGTTTTAATATGTATTCTCCTTCAGACATTTTCTAAGACAATTATTGTCTGCTACTTTCCTATGGTGAAATGTATCCATTTGATTTTGGTTACCTTGTCTTGTAGATAAAGAAAAATTTTACTTCAGTCCATCTTTCTTACGTGGAATTGAAACACATGGGTCAGCAGCATATGGGGCGGTATCCTGTTCATTTTCACCTGTGTGGGGACGTGGATTATAAAGGAGGGTACAGATATGGGACATTTGTGGATGGCCTGTCTATTCATCACAGCTTCTCCAGGTGCATCACTGTGCATGGGACCAATGGCTTGCTGGTAAGTAGCCTTACATTATATTAATGCATATTATTGAAGCAGTTAACTCTCCTTAATTTTCATGACTTCTCAATTTCATATAAGGAAGCTGTTGCACCAGATGCCTTGCTCTAGCCTGCTGTTGCTGAGAATTGTGCTATTTTTCTGTGTTAAGGAAGCCTACTTATTTAGCTACCCAAATTATTCTCTTAAGCAATCAATAAAACCTGACATTTGACTTTGCCCCTTGAGCTAAGATAAAAACTTCTTTTTGCATTTGTCCTGAGCATGCTACACTGAATAGCACTTGTTACTTAAACCACTATCAATCTTGTTACCAATGACATTATACACTTATATTTCTGCAGATAAAAGACACCATTGGATTTGACACACTGGGTCATTGTTTCTTTTTGGAAGATGGTGTTGAACAGAGAAATACTTTGTTCCACAATCTGGGACTCCTCACCAAGCCGGGCACCCTCCTCCCCACTGACAGGAATAACTCCATGTGCACCACCATGCGAGAAAAAGTGTTTGGAAATTACATCCCTGTACCTGCGACTGACTGTATGTGAGTAATTGGCAGAGAGCAAAACTCATGTGTGATAGTCAAGGCCTTTGATTTTCGGGGAAGACGTTTTGGGGGAAGATTTAGTGGGCAGGATTTTTCATGATGAATGTTTAAATCACCTTAAAAAATGCCTTGCAGGGCTGTTTCAACTTTCTGGATTGCTCATCCCAACAATAATCTGATTAATAATGCAGCTGCAGGCTCACAGGTAAATAATATTGAAGTGCTCTCAGTTTTTTTGTATTCATGTTTATAAATATACTCATTTATATTGATGTGATGTAATGTGTGGCAATCTAACGCCAGCATGACACTGTTTTCTGGTGCTGCTTGTTTAGTTGAGAGCAGGATGCGGTTGAGATGGTTCTTCTATTTCTTCTAAATCATTGATGCCAGATAGTATCTATGAGTACAGTAAGACAAATGCCAAATGGAGGAAAAGAGGTAGGCTAATCTCTAGGGTTATCATGTCATCTCCAGAGTATATTTTTAGAGTATTATGTACAATCTTTCTGGCTTCTCATATTTAAGTCACGTTTGGCCAAGTAACTGATCATTTCAGTTTTCAGTGTTGATGAACAAAGAAAGCCTCACCATTTCTGAAATTAAGGGAATGGATTATTCTGTAGAATACTATGACAACTGTCACTCTGGTCAAGGGGCACATCTTTTTGTTAAGTGCAGGGATCACGTACACTTGGGGATTTCATCTCCTTGGCAAAGCAGCTAAACTCAACTGTGTGCCTTAAATTAACTGTGTGCCATGAATTGTTTCACAAACACAAGAATAACTTAAGAGAATAAATGAACTATTTTTGGATGGCAGAAATGTCCCCTGGATAAGCTTGGAGAAATTTACATTTATAATTGAGTGTGATTTAAAACTGCTAATTTATAATAGAAAAATGAATCTTTAAGACATTATACTATTATAGTTATCATATGAGCTTTGTAGCAATACCTTAATATTCATATTTATACATCATGGCTATTAAGATTTTAAAAAGGGAAGAAATAGCTGACATTGTTTTCCAGGATAAAGTAAAAGATAGTGGAAGGGAGTAGTTCTTTGAGTTAACTAGAGTACATGCACCACTCGGTGATGGTGGAATTCATATCCATGAGTTTCCTTAAAAACATAAAACATAAAATTCTTATTTGACAGGGCAGAGACCTGGACATTTAATCATTTCAGGTTTCCATTCATTTGTTTTTCATCAAATATTTGTTGAGTCATATGGGGTTTGCGTTGAGAGTTTCTAACTGGAAGATGAGTTTTTGGGTAAAGTTGACTGAGAGTTTGATATGCAGTCTTACCCCAGGATCATCTTCGATCTATATTACATTACAAATGGACAGCCAGAGCAGAGATTCCTTTCAGCTGTTTTCAGAAGTCATGGGTTTAAGATCAAAGCAAATTACAAATAGTCTGTGAAACATGTAAGGTGAGGTTGCCAGAAACCCTTACTGGGGCTCATGTGAGAAGAGAAGAAAGCAAGTCTATCCTTTCCACCTCATGTACGTTCTTCTTCCTTTTCATTCTGTGAGTTCTTTCTTTTCTCTCTAGAAAAACTGTTCCAGTAAAGCTCATGTTTTGGCAAGAGTTTTGTTCCCAAAGTAAATCAAACCCTTTCTTCTTGTACCTTTCCACTGCCTTTTACAAAGCTCCCTTTACCTGTTTTGACACCACAGTATTTAACAGGAACCAGCTGCTACCAACTCCTCCATTCTCCATCCCCAACCCCGTTGCATCCTGGGAGGGTTCACTCTGCCGTCAGCTTGTAGGACTATGGTATGGAGCCTTCTCCACAACCCTACAAGTTGTCTTCTGTTGTCTGTTTTGTGCCCAAAAGAATAGAGGTGGCAAACACATCTTTCAGAGTAGTTTCTTTTATTAAGACCCATCCGTAAACTTTTATCATGGAAAAATGTTAAATATTGTATTCATTTTGGTGTGTAGATATATATGCTTTCCACAATTCATCTCTCTAATGCTCCTAAAGGACTTCGTTACGGCTAGTATAGTACTTACTACATATATTTTATTTCTCTCTGTATTTCCCATTAGACTGAATTCTTTGAGAATAGCCTGACTGTACACCAGGCACGCAGTGGGCACTAAATGTTTGCCAAATTTGAATCAACACCATAGTTTTGGACTATATGTTTAACAATCTGTTTTATCAAAGTTCTGTATTGTGAAGTTGTCCTTGGGCAGGTTTTGAATTAAATTGTAAAATAAAAGATTGTCACGGGGATTAAGAACGTTTAGTTTCAATTTTTATATCTCATTTTGAGTGTCAAAAATTTTTAAACTGTTCTGCCGCGCCCGTTAAGGTCAATAATACTGAAATTGAACAGACAGGATCCAGACTGAGACAGCATCCTGATTCATGCGTGTGGTGGTTTTTTTTCTTTGGCAAAAACTTGCCTCGGGACAGGAAGGGCATTGGAGTTGTTTGAAAGAAGGCAGTGAGCTCTGCATGTTGGTGGATAGTTGTTTAATAGGTGTGACTCATCTATTGATCAGATTTGGAGGTAAACAGAAAAAAACCCATATTACTAAAAGGCTGTGCTGTCCTGGTCACATGGAAGGAAGGAAGGAAGGCTTGTTTGCTTCTAATTCTGCATAACTTTTTAAAGTAGATAATGATGAGAAAGTTATTTTGAAAATAAATTTTGGTATCAGCCAATTATTTCTATCTTTTGTCCAATCCTGCAAGCAAAATTAAACTTGCCTTTTTTTTTTTTTTAAAGCATGATATAACTGCTTTGAAGGTACTAGATGAGTTCACAACTTTTTATAGTCAATTCTGAACCTGAAACAATGAATAATTACTGTTAAAAAGATTAAACTGGCTTGAGAAGAGCTTAGTTTATGAAGGTGTTTCATAGAGTGGCTTTATAAAAGGAGGCTTTTAATGATCTTGCCCTTTTAATTATAGGATGCTGGAATATGGTATTTATTCCACAAGGAACCTACTGGGGAATCCAGTGGATTGCAGCTCTTAGCAAAACCAGAACTCACTCCATTGGGTATATTTTATAACAACAGAGTCCATTCAAGTTTTAAGGTAGGTTCCTGAGTTTTAACATTTGGTACATATGATTTACAGGGTAAAGGATGGACTCCTGTGATTACAACTGAGAAATGTCAGTTTTAGGTAGAACTTGGCATCAGAGAAAGTAATTTATGATTAAAAAAGCAGCCTTCTAACCCTTCCACATTCAAGATGTATATACAGCTTTCTATTTATACACTGAAATATACGCTAACACACATATGTGCATTTGATCTGAATAAATGTAATAATGGACTTGACCCATGAGTCCTCATCTTTTCTCTTCCTCCCTCTCACCTTCTTTCCAATCTTTAATATCATTACATGTTTCTAGGGATGTACACATTAGATAATGTGCTTCTGGGGGTTAAAAAGCATATTTTCTCTCTTCTCTCAGTGCTGATAGAGTGTCCTATTGGGCATTTAATACTAATTGTGTTAATAGTGAAATATTGTTTAACAATATTTCACCTAATTAAAAATGATCAGGTCAAGTAAACTAAAGGCCATTTAGGAGTTCCAATTTCCATGACAGTCGGGACACACCCGCAAGCCCCCAGTGATCAATTCACCTGGTTCATTGTGTGCTCACAAGGTACTCTGATGTTTTCATTGTGTGACGTGATGCCCAGATTCTTTACCCAGATGTGATCCACCTAAAAGTTCAATTAATACTTTCTGTTTATGATTCTCAGAGGATCCTTTAAAAACTTAAGTGTATTATAATTTGAAGAGCTTAGAATCACTTGATGAAGACTTGAGAGAGCAAAACACTTTACACAGAATTATGATTTTTGTGAGCTGAATAGTTGATTAAGGCTAATATTGTTAAAAATTGGCCTTTCAAAGTGGAAATGCTTAAAATTTTCTAATTATAGATGGTATAAAAATCCTCATTTTAATGAATGTTTTTAATGTCATATTCCATGAGGACATGTAGTAATCTACTCTATTAATTATAAGCATATTAGATCTAAATAATGAGTGGATGATTAGGTTTTAAGGTTTTTTTTTTGTTAAGTTTGGGAGTGACTATCCAGAATGATACTTTGTAGCCCAAGTCCTCGGAGTCCTCAGAGAGTAACCTGTCATTTTTGGATCAATCATAAATACAGAAATACGACCCCTATGGCTTTGTGCCTCCCAAACCTGTATCTAGTCCAGGTCAGTCACATCTGTCTGACTGCCTGCTGGGTACCATTTTGATGTCTCAGGAACACATAAATAAAATGTGTTCAAACTAAAATCCTTTTTTTTTTTCTGACTTTCCAGTTTGGTTTATTTATCTTTTCTCAGGAGATTGTTACACCCTTCCTCCCAATTGTGACAGTTTTATTAAAGAGAGGGCTTACCTTTGTAGCAAATCTGTATTCTATGGATTGGCAAAAATGAGCGTAAATCAGTTACCTGGTAGCAACATCCTGGTTTATGCTAGTTGGTGGAAAACTTCAAATTTGTTAGGATTCTGGAAGTAGAAAATACACATAGCAGGATCCAGGAGCTATGCTGTAAAAAAAAAAAAAGAAAAGCTCTGGATAGAAGAATAGAGCCCCCAGTTAGAGCAGAGAAAGCAGAAAGGAGAAAACATTATATAATAATCATGATGAAAAGAATAAAGACCAAAATGCGCTCCCAAAGCCGAGAGAATGAAGGTGCTCTCTGTGGCATTTGTGCAGAGTCTGAGGCTATGCTGGTGGATGAAGGAGCCGGGATGAGGTTGGAAATGGTTTTAATTGAACTGCCCCGAGCACGTGGTCCAGTTTGGGCCACGTGGTTGTGCGTGAGGTCAGCCTTTCATGAGCTCTCCTGCACATCTGCATCGGGAATGGGCCTCGCACACAGTCTTCTCGCCTGGGCAGAGTCTAGACGGTGCAGGGTAGAAATGGCAAGGACTTAGAAGAAAAGCACCATCTGTGAGTTCTCTGGAATCCTTTGGAAAAGCCCTCTCCCACCCCTCAGCTTTTCTGCGGTCCCTCTCGCAGCGCTGGGCTCCTTCTACATCTGGCTACCTCCCTCCGGCCCTCTACTTGTCCCCTAAAATCCTTATTTTTGTCATCAGCCCCGTTCCTGTATCTCTGTTTCAGTGAATGAAACCACTAGCCCCCTAATTGCCCAAACTAGAAATATATGAACCTTTATTACTCTCTCTCTCACCTTAGACATTTTATTAATTATTAAATGGTAATTTACCTAGTAAAGAATTCTCACTCTATCCACTTTTCCCTGTTACTACTGCCACAAGTCTAGGTCATCTTTATTTCTCTTCTGGTTTATTGCAGTCTCCTCCTGCCTTATGTCCTATCTCTTTTTTTGTCTCTTTCCAATCTATTATCCATCTCGTAGCTAGAGTATTCTTTCTTAAAATATGGTTGATTACGTTACCTTTATTAAAAGTCCCATTGTCTTGATTCTTCAGTATATCAACTCTGCATCATCTGGCCTTCCTTCTCTTTAGTCTTCTTCCTTACCTTTCCTTCCTCTGTACATTTCCTGTTGGTCCATCTAAGATTTTTTGTTTTCACATGTGCTGTGCTCTCTCTCATCTCCAAACTTTTTGTACAAACAGTTTCCTTGAGTACTTTCCTCTGGGTTCTTCAGCTGCGTCCCACCCAGTCCCTGCCTTTGTTCCCAACCCATTCTTTTGTGTGGGTAATTCCTCCCCATCCGTCAAGTTTCAGCTGTAGGAGGGCACTTTTAGGAGACAGTCCCTGAATCCTCTCACTCCCACCTTTGCGAAAGTTCTCATCTTGGTACCTTTCTTATGTGCTGCCAAAGCATCCTCTGCTTCCGTTATCATATTGGATTGTAGTTGTTTATTTAACATGTTGCACATAGTCTTGTGTGCATGTCTTTGTTGCATGTCTTCCTGCTAGTTTGTGTGTCAGTAACAGCAAAGACCATGGTTTTCTTGTTAGTGTATAATGCATGGTACCTGCCACTAGATAGGCACTGAATAAATATTTCCCGAATGACCAAATTAATAACACTATAAAAATATCCAGGAAAGTAGTAGTTTTCATAATTTCTTTGCTTTGCTGTTTATTCCGTCTCTCTCTTTTTTTTTGTAGACTAAAACTTATTTTTGTGAATCATTGTATACATTGATATAACTTGGGATTCATATTCATTTCAGTCCATTATTATATTTTCCAGGCTGGCTTGTTTATTGACAAAGGTGTCAAAACAACCAACGCTAGTGCTGCTGACCCAAGGGAATACCTGTGTTTGGATAACAGTGCAAGGTAGAGCTGGTCCTTTTAAATCACGCTCAAGCCATATCTTGCCAAAGCAAAACTTTCTAGATTAAGCCATTATGCTCTTTTCTCCAGTAACACATTTAACTGAAGTTTTCAAAGTTTGTAGGAGGGTTTTGGAAAAACATTTATTCTGCAGTTCTCGGTCCTGTAGCTGGGCTTTTTGTCTTATGGAGATGCCAAAGAAGTTGATGTTTTTCCCAGTTGTAAATTGATGTTAGAGTTGCAGAAAGAGAAAGAAAGAGCGAGATGTTGAAAAAAGGTCCAAATTTGGCCTAAAGTAGAATATGATTCATTGAAAAACAAGTTAAGCTAAGATGTTTTAGTGTAATCCCTGAAAACCAAGGCATATAGAATTTATTGTTAGTGGTCAAAATGGAACATTGCATTACATCTGTTTCAAAGGGAAAGGTTTCCAACTTGATCATCAAGCTGGTTCTGGTTCAGTTGTTTGTAGTCTCAGATTCACATCATAGCTGGGCTCTGTGTTACTCTCCTTTATAACCACAAAATGTGGTTGGGATATGGATCAGCATTTCAACAAAGTTCTTTCACATGCTGTATGTGAGCCAAAATAAATAAAGTGTCCCCACTGGAAATAAAATTTTTTGGAAAAGATGGCAACTTAAAAGTCACGTTCAGTAGAAACTGTGTACATGTTATTTTTCTATACTTAAGTTGATGGACCAACTTATGGATTTTAAAGGGTGCTAGATTTAATAGGCTTTGTTGGTAGACATTTCAGAAAAGGATATCAGACCCTGTTGTTCACCAGGGAATAAAATAGGAGCCACATTGTAGGTCAGTGAGTTGGTTTAAGTGTAAGGCAGGATCCTGGCAACACAGTAATAAGGCATGAGGTCAGGGGAAAACTGGGGAAAGTATAGTTAGTAAAATTACTCATAGGGATTCCTTAAAGGTCAAGTTGGGCCTGAAATGTTTTAAAGCAATGATCAGATAGCACTTGAGAAGCTGAGAAACTGTAGGCATTTTTTAAATAAAACACAAGGTACTGGACACCTAATAGCTGAGCAAGATATGAGTTGGAAAAATAGAGGAGATAAACTTAGGAAAAAGGAGCATATAGATGATAAAAAATTATGAACCGAGAAGAGAATATTAGCTGACAAAACAAAGAAATCTTGCTAGAAGGTCGCTGCTGCTTTTTAAAGGAGTTTATTGTAACTGATAGAATTAGTCCTGTGTACTTTGCTAAGTTAGTATTAACTGAAAAATCCTTAAACACAACACAATTGACTCTCGTCCCTGCCTTAAAAAATTGTGTGTGTGTGTATGAATGGGTGGATAAGAAAATATCTTTCAGAATCTATTGATATTTTAATTAGACTTGACAATAAAACAGTTTATCCATAATGGCCTAAGAAGTTCTTTACCGGATGTGTTTATATAATATTATGATAATGGTAATTTTTGCTCTGCTCTCCATGATTTTCTAGTTTATAAATGCACACATATTGGCAAGGAATTAGACTCCATTTGGAAGTTGTTATTGAAAAGAACTGATTGTAGAAGAAGAGTAATAAAACATTTGGCAGCTGGTGTATACATTTAATTTTGTATAAACTAATGTATAGAATATGCCCACATGCATTCATGCAGTCCAGACATGAGTAAAAATGATAAAATTCTAACACAAAAGAGTAATACGCCAACCCATGAATTAAATATCAGGCTCATAGGATCCAGAAGATATTAAGTCTCTTCAGCAAAGGGGAAGTTGACTCAGCGGTTAATCAGATGAGCCTTTCCTTGTGTCCTCAACATGTGCAATTACAGGAATCCAGAAATAGGAAATTTTAACTCAAGAAAGCACTCAGTTTGAGACTGGGAAGTTTCATCCAAAAGAGCAAAAGGGCGTGCGAACCCACTAGTACATTTAAAGCAGAGGACAGTTAAGGGAGGGTTAGGAGGTGTGCTGAAAGCTCATAAATGAGGATGATGAAAAATTGGGAAAGTTAACTGTATTTTCTACAGCTAGAAAGAGGGAAGTGGGAAAGAGGGAAGAAGATAAAGGATATCCAAGCAAGTGGTCAATGATCGATTTGTATGGATAGGAATTTGAGAAAAGTGAGATGGCTACGGCAGAAGATGACATGTTTCTTTATGGTACTCTTTTTTCCTTTGGCTTTTTCTGGCTTTTTTTTTAAGAACGTCGTGTAGTTTCCTTTCCAGAACTCTTCCGTCTGCTTGATATTATGTAATGACTGCAGAGCTGTTTGGCAGCTGCTACAATGCCAGAAGAGTGGGTGATGGCTCAGAGTCAGACTTTTTACTCCTCAGGTCTGAGCTATCTAGTGTAAGGGTCATATGCACAGTCTGAGGGTGGATATGACGCCTTCCAGACTGACCTCCTTGTAGTCCATTCTCTACAATGCTTTCCTCAAGTAGTAGCTAGAGACCAGTTAAAAAAAAAAAAAGAAATCTGATCATATCACTTCCCTGATTCCGTGTTTCCAATGACTGTTCATCACACATTTGTTTATCTGTCTACCCACTTTATTCAGGTATGAATAACATGTAAAAAGCTGTGCGTATTTAATGTATGCCAGTCGATGAATTTGAGGATACGTGCACACCCATGAAACCATCACCACTATCAAGGCCATAGACATACCCATCACCTCCCAGAGTTTCCCCCATCTCCTTTACTGTTATTATTTTTTAATTTTAAAATCTTTAATTTTTTGTGGTAAGAACACTTACCATAAGATCTACTCTCTTAGCAAATTTTAAGTATACAATACAGTTTTGTTAGCTATAGGCACTATGCTGTATAGTAGATCTCCAGAATTTAATTGTCTTGCATAACTACAACTTTGTACCATTTGACCATCACCTCTCCATTTCCCCCTCTCCCCCAGCCCCTGGCAACCACCATTCTATTCTCTGCCTTTCACATTGCATTTAGAATAAAGAATCACATCCTTGCCCATGCTCGTGGCGCATGCCCACCTCTCTATCCTCTCCCCCTTACTTCTTACTCTCCAGCCAACTTGCTTATTGTTCCTTGAAAGTGCCAAGCTCACTCATGCCTGACCTTTGCACCTGCAGTTCTCCGTGCATAGTTTCTTCTCCCATCGTACACATCTAGTGAGCCCCTACTGTGTGCCAGCAACTGTGGTAGTACCGTTTGTGCCAATGATATTTCCTGACCATACGATTGAAAGTCAACCTACTGAATTGGTTTTTGAAAAGCTGTCTAGTTTTGTTTCCCCCTTCCCCCTCCCCCCCAGCTTGGTAAGATGAAGATAGAAATGATCTTTTTTTAAAATAGACGACCTTATGGAATTATTTATTTGAGTTATAGTGGACGGTTATAGTGGATAGTTTTTGACACCAATTTTTTTGACCTTTTCATTAAGATCCTTGTAAGTATTTTAGAAGGAAGAGAAAGAAAAGGTAAAATTTAGTCTTTATAATTAATAAGTCAATTAAATACAATCTATTCTAAATTTAGGCATTTTTAAGACATCGAACTCAGTTTTGTTTCTATATCTCAAACATTTCACCAACACAACTCAAATAATACTCCAGTTCACATATATCTATATGTTGAAATATATGATTAATTTATTCAGTAAGTTTATATTAGTATCATGTTGCTTAAGAATTTGTGAAAACATGCCAGATTTCCTGGTCTGAGGTTTCTTTTGTTGTTTTTGAAATGATTTTAGTGCTTAGAATGTTCTGCGGCGTTGATTCTATAAGTTGATTTAAAAAAGTAAGTAAGAAGATATGAAAGCAATTGTCTGGAAACTTGATAAACAAATGTAATTTTTTTTTCCTGGTATTTGAAATACACATAATCAAGTTGTGTCTTAAGATTTTTTTTGTTTGTTTTTGTTTTGGTCAAATTTAAATCCTGCTTTTTGACACTTAAGCTTATAGGTATAAATAGCTGATTTCCATTGCCTTTTTATTACTTTTTTTAAAAGTCCTGTTTTTTTTTGAACCCCAAGGTTTCGACCTCATCAGGATGCTGACCCTGAAAAGCCACGTGTTGCTGCTTTAATTGACAGGCTCATTGCTTTTAAAAATAATGACAACGGAGCTTGGGTCAGAGGGGGAGACATTGTCGTTCAGAACTCAGCGTGGGTATTCTCTACAAGTTGTTATCTGATGACACTGTTGTATGTATTTTTTAAGGCTGTTTTTCAAAACCCAGTAGACTGAAAGTACAGTGGTGGATTCTGGAGTCATGTTATTATGACTAGTAGACAGGACAAGCTCCGAGGAAGTATGCTAGTGTTAACAGACTGCAAATGTTTGGAATCGTCTCATTCTGCTGCTTTTATTGGAACTGAACTTGTCTGGTGACATGAGAGTTTTTTGATGAGATTGAACAGAAACTGGGAATTTAACTTTATATAACAAACATGGTCTATGTCAGAGAGCTAAATAAAGATTTTGAAACTACCTGGATTTTTTTTTCCTTCCTCTTGGAAACTCGAAGTTATTTTGATACTCTTCCATTGCCATTCAAAGCAGAAGTTGTGAATTCCACCTTAATAAGTCTGTTGATTTCTGTCTTAACATGACTTGTGGCCGTAAGCATCTCACTTTTTTCCATTTGTATGATTTTAGGAGAAGTCTGATGTATCTTGAGCTAAGATTGCATGTTCTAGAGTCTAGAAAACATGTTTTTTCTGGCTGATACTGACATCAGCTTCTTGGCATTTTATCATCATCTCTGACTTTTTTTTTTGGTGAGGAAGACCAGCCCTGAGCTAACATCTAATGCCAATCCTCCTCTTTTTTTTTTGCTGAGGAAGATTGGCCATGGGCTAACATCTGTGCCCATCTTCCTCTATGTTATATGGGACGCCGCCACAGCATGGCTTGACAAGTGGTGCATCAGTGCGTGCCCGGGATCCGGACCTGCGAAGCTTGGGCTGCCGAAGCAGAGAGCACGTACCTAACTGCTACACCACTGGGCCAGCCACCATCTCTGACTTTTATCATGCAAAAAAACTGATATTGTATTAAATTTGTAGAATTAGCTTGGGTATTAATGTTGAAGAGTTTTGAAGAGAATACCATGATCTAATTGTTTTTTATTATTAATTATTTATTTATTTTATATTTTAATTTTTTGCTGAGGAAGATTCTCCCTGAGCTGACATCCACTGCCAATCTTCCTCTTTTTATATGTGAGCCGCTGCCATGGCATGGCCACTGACAGACGGGTGGTGTAGATCTGCACCCAGGAACCAAACCGGGTGCGAGCAGAGCATGCCGAACTTAACCACTAGGCCACCGGGGCTGGCCCTAATTGTTTTTAAAAATAATTATAAAAATAATAATTATAGCTAGCACTTCTATGCTGCTGACTATGTGCCAGGCACTAAATGGTTGAAATTAATTGGTATGTTTACTGCTCTCAAATATCCTATAAGGAAGGTTATATTATTATTTCAACTAATAGGTGAGAAAACTGAGGAAGAGACAGATTGAGTGACTTGCCCAAGGTCACACAGCTAGTAATTGGCCAAGCTGAGAGTTGAACCAGGTGCCTTCACTGTGGAGTCTGTGCTTTTAGTTACTGGGAAGTGAAACTTTTTTTGTGCTCTTGGAGAGTAAACATTATTGGAACCTTCTGGATTTCATGACAATTAAATATCGAGAGAATTACCTCTTCTTACATTATGTGATAAATTAAAATGTTCCCTCATTCTCTTTTCTCTTACAGATTTGCAGATAATGGAATAGGGCTGACCTTTGCTAGGTTTGTAATTACTTTACAAATGTTTATCTGATTATAAGCCTGTAAGGTCAAATAACCCTTGATTATTTAGTTAATTTATTTATTTTTGGATAATACACAGGAATGTTATATCACTTATTAGCATTAAAAAAATATTAACACCTGCTTCCTGATACCACTAGAGGGTCAAAAACACATTTTTATTGATTAATTGAATTCATACCAAAGTAGTAGATTAACATAGCTGGAATTCCACAGAAGGGTAGGCCCATCGTAATTTTTTCCTTAGAAGAAAACACTTGAGCTTTAGACTAAGATTTTAAAAAGTAGAGGAGAGAGGAAGGGAGTAAAAATTGGGAGCAGGTTAAGTGTTTTCTTTTTTAGAAGCTAGACTAGGGCCGGCCCTGTGGCTTAGCGGTTAAGTGCGCGCGCTCCGCTGCTGGCGGCCCAGGTTCAGATCCCGGGCGTGCACTGATGCACTGCTTCTCTGGCCGTGCTGAGGCCGAGTCCCACATACAGCAACTAGAAGGATGTGCAACTATGACATACAACTATCTACTGGGGCTTTGGGGAAAAAAAGGAGGAGGATTGGCAATAGATGTTAGCTCAGAGCCAGTCTTCCTCAGCAAAAAAAGAGGAGGATTAGCGTGGATGTTAGCTCAGGGCTGACCTTCCTCACACACACACACACACAAAAAGAAGCTAGACTAGTTCTTCAGTGGTCTTTAAGAATGGAACTTTTTTTGTGTGTGAGTGAGGAAGATCAGCCCTGAGCTAACATCCACGCTAACCCTTTTTTTTTGCTGAGGAAGACTGGCCCTGGGCTAACATTCGTGCCCATCTTCCTCCACTTTATATGGGACGCTGCCACAGCATGACCTGACAAGCAGTGCATTGGTGCGCGCCCCGGATCTGAACCCAGGCCTCCGGCAGTGGAGTGCGCACACTTAACTGCTGCACCATGGGGTCGGCCCCAAAAATGGAACTTTTTATGTTGCATATTGTTCTCCAGATAACAGTTATTCTTGTTGCTATCTTAAATATGCTTATCACTAATTGTTCCTTTCAGGGCAAGTTCTTTCTCCTCGTTTGCAATATTGTTGCTTGAGACTAAAACAGTTGTTGCTGCTAAATTAAATTTTATTTATTTCTAATTTGCAAACCACATATTAATTTATAAGCAAGTATGTTCACAGTTTAGAAGCACTTTTTGATGACTTGATACTACCTATTAGGAAAAACTACTGGCTGCTTTGAAAATTTTTAGTTTTTTAAGTTATAGCCTGCTTTCATTTGAGGGTCCATTTAAATTTTCTAGAGATGTGTGGTTAATGATCATTATTCTCATTTTAACAGTGATGGAAGCTTCCCAAGTGATGAAGGTTCCAGCCAGGAGGTTTCTGAATCTCTCTTTGTTGGGGAGAGCAGGAATTATGGCTTTCAAGGTGGTCAGAACAAGTATGTAGGCACTGGAGGAATAGACCAGAAGCCTCGGACACTACCCAGGAACCGGTAAGCATTGCTTTAGCAGTGGAGTATTAAATTTAAATAATAAATGAAAACCTAACCCTTATGGAAGTTTCTGTAATAATCCTGGATGAACTGGTTTCTACTGTGACACTTTTCCCACCTTATCTTATTACTATTATTATTATTGTTGTTGTTGTATGTCTCATCCTCTGAAATTCTGGAATATTAATTCTTAAACATTTCCTGGATTTCATTATCGATTTTATAACAAAGGAACCTATCTTGTTTCTCATTCCATGAATAAGGTCTTATGTAAGCTGGTGATTTTTTTTTTTTTTTTTTTTCTTTCTTTCTTGAGCCACAGAAAGTTGCCAAACCATAAACTATGACATGAGGTCAGTTTTCCCTCAATTTGTGATGTTGGTTTTCAGAAATAGCCACTGGAAAAAGGATACTACCTATTGAAAAGAGTCCTACAAAATAAGAGTTGATAGATGCCAAAGCTGACTCGACACCTAACCACGGCTGTATAATGAACAGTGTTTTAGATGTTGAAGGGGTATGGGGGTAGACCTTTGGCATGTTTTCTGCCAAAAGAATCACAGAGTCATTAAAATAGTGCTTAGCACTAGAAAGACTATTCAGAGTATTTAGGGAACTATTAACTAATTAATCCATACCTCAGTTCTGAGACACAGTCTGGAGTTGTCCTCATTTTACTTGTGAGAAAACCAGGAGGAGAAAAATTTGTGTTCTAAAGGTGTTACATCAGAGCTGGTGTCAGAATTCATCAAGCATCAATTCCCTTAAAGTTATATGCTGTATCTGGACGTTGGGCTAGGACAGGTCAGGTAGAATGGGGCAAATGGACTGTTAGCCTTGGGGACAGGGGGCGAGGGTTGAGGAAACGGCTTTACTAGCTTCTGGCAAAGAGTTACCCATGCTCGGCTCCTCTCCCTTGTGCTTGTCGTTGGGAAATGTTGAATGTCATTATATGCTGTGCTCTCTGTAGAACTCCTGTTAGACCATGGAAGCCACTAGGAAAGGAACTTCATGGTTATCATGTGTCAGCCCCTGTTCTAAAATCCTTTATTATTCACTTAATGCTCGCAAAATCCAAAGATGTAGGTACTGTCATCATCCCGCTTTATAAATGAGTAACTTGCTAAAGGTAGCTGAAGTGGGATTCAAACCCTGATAGTTTGGCTTCAGTGCTATGCTCTTAACCATTAGGCCATCACTGCCTCTTCTAATGTGCAGATTAGAAAAAGAAAAAAAAAGCTGTATTGGTTGGGGTATGGGCTACAGTATTATGGTGGCCAATTCAATTCCATTCTTTTTATTTTGTGTTGGCCTCCCGTTTTACTTCAAAATGCTTATTCCTTCTTTGCTAAGGAGGTTTTTCCAAAACAAAGATTCCTTGTTGGTCAATGGATCCAGTTTTTATTTTCTCTATCTTTACAACCTTTTCTATGGGAGAGAAGCGTTTTGGAATATATCCTCAGAAATACTCAAGATGCATGGATTTTTAACCAGGCTGTTTGATTTTCTTGCTAGCATATATGCTTTTATTGTAGAACACTGCCAAGTTGTAAACTAATTAGTTGCTATAGAAATTCTCTGCAATGCCTTTAAAGAATTTAATGGGAGAAATCTAAGGGATCCAGATTATTATGGGTTTTGTCCATTAATTATGGTTAATGATATATGATTAGTAGATTAAGGAGTTTGTTGAACAGAAAGGAGGAAAATGAATAAAATGAATTTCTCAATCTAGCTACCCCTTTGACATAGTAAGCCTTGAGGACTTACACTTTTATACTTCTGAGTATATCATTTCACCCTATTACTATCATTTAGTGACTTGAAAGGAAGTTCTCTCTATTTAAGCACAGATTTGTCTTTTGTTCTCATGCTAGAGATTTTGGGACCAAAACTAAAGTATTTGAGTTACCAAATAAAGGGTCTTAACTGAGTTGATTCAAGGAAGCAGAAGTCACCTTTTCAGAGAGGCCTCCATTCTGTCCAAAATAGCATCTCTCTCCTACCCAACTGATTGTATTATTATGTCTTATTGTCTCCATAGCACTTATTATCTGAAAGTATCCTTTGTTTTTCTCACTACGGTATATGTTTTATTTGATCAGGGATCTTGTCTTGGTTACCACTGTTTCCTAGAATTATGCTTGGTGCATATGGGATATTCAACAGTATTTATAAAACAAATATGTAAATGAAGTGCTGTTAAGGGCATGGGCCCAAGTGCATTAAACAAAATCTTGTATTTCAACAGGACATTCCCAATTAGAGGCTTTCAGATTTACGATGGGCCCATTCATCTAACCAGGTGTACTTTCAAAAAATATGTGCCGACTCCAGATAGGTATACCAGCGCTATTGGTTTCCTCATGAAGAACTCCTGGCAGATAACCCCCAGGAATAACATCTCTCTCGTGAAGTTTGGTCCACATGTAAGTATATTCTTGTGGTTCCTCCATAGTGACTATGGTGTGAGAAGGAGGGATAGCACATTCCCAAAGACAAAAACACAAACACAAACAAAGGATTCGTACTTAGTCTCTATGACTGGGAGGAGCAACATATGCAAAAGCAATTCCTAATTCTTTTCGCTCTGTCCCCGTGAGTTCAAGGTGAGAACAGAAGTCCCATGTCACCTGGGGTATTTTTGACATTCAAGTGATATCTCTAAAGGGAAAATGACTTAAAGTGATGACATAGGGATGGGGATCGTAGAGTTTCATAGGAACAAGAGGACATAGGATTTTGAGAAATGCAGTGTAGTAATCCGTGAAGAAATTTGTGTTCTACCTGGTATTTTACTTATCTGGGGCTAATTCTTCCGGGACACTAGAGGATAGAAGGTTGGGAAAGAAGGGGAATACTGGGGTGGTGTGAAAAAACATTGGGTTATTTCTGATATAAACTGTTGGAAGGTTTTTATGAAGATTGCAAAGAAGACTTAGAAATAATTGTTTACAGTGCAGTAGCCCACAGAAGTAGTTTTTGTAGTGGTTTCATCAGTCACCTTTTACCCTGGATACACAGGACAATCTGATCACATTCCCCCAGCCTCCTCCCGTCCTTCTGGTTCAAAGTTGACAGTGGCATAGAGAGCTTGAGGCTCTGACCGTCTCACTGCCTGCTCTCATAGGGAGCCACAACTGGCAAGTGGCTCATAGTTCTCTCATTCACGTCCATAGGCAAACTCTGTGGACCCAATTTAAAAGAGGACTTGGGGTAGTTTACCAAAGACTCTGGTTTTCTAGAATAGCTGAGGCATGGAGCAGAGGCGCAGGTGCAAATGGGGATGTCAGCTTGGTTGGCTGGTTCTCTTTCAGGTCACATGACTCCAGGGAAGAGGAAGAGCTCTACTGTAAATAGCTTCCCACATGAATGAATAGGGTGGGTCTTGACGTCAGCTCTGCAGCACGAGGCTGGCTGTTTGCATACTGCCCACACGGACTTCCTCATGCATAGAGTTTAGTGACCACAGACATGGTCATACTGAAACAATTTGTTAGATGTTACATGTACTGTGGAGTTCTAGAATTCTAACAGCCTAAGAGAATCCATGCTGTTTAAGTCTAGTGGTTCATCAGCCTGGACTTCTTGATCTGGGAACAGTTCATAAAGAGAACGATTTGCCAAATGTGTTCTACCCCAAAAGGTGGAAAATATGCCCTAAACTTCTCTTGGATTTAACCATAGGAGATCTAAGGAAAAGAGAAAAAAAGCCTAGAACTAAGAATCTAGAGCCACTTGTCCCAGCCATCACTGATTTTACATTGAGTTGCTTATCATTTAGGTGTTCAGTTGATTTTAAAACTTCCTAGAGTGACAAGTGCAAAAAAGCGTTATAGAGGTGTGTCTGCGTGGCTTGATTAACAGTAGTAAATTGACCACTAAGCAGAAGCAGCGAAAGACTATAAAACGTGTCACCTGCAGCCTGCTTTGCAGCTGTGTACTGTGTGTTCAATAAAGGCTTTATATTAACTCTGCCGCTGGGTTGCGCTTGGTCTGTGTTGCGGAGAGAGAAAGTAACTTTCACATTTCAGCAGGTTCTAGTGAGTTCAGCGGTCACCCAGCCATACTAAGGCAACGCTTCGACTGTGTGTCAGTTTTCAACTGTACTTATTTTTTGGTGAGGGAAGTCATATGAAATAACTAAAGCATTTGGAATAAAATAAAATGCTTAACTCTTAAGTTAGAACTAGTAATATATTTTTATTTAATTGAGGTATAATTTGCATAGAGGGAAATGCACAGATCTTAAGTGTACACTTGATAATTTTTAACAAATATGGGTGAGTACATAGTCCCCCTTCCCACAACTGTTCTGATTTCTCTTACCACAGATTAGTTTTTTTCTGGAGAGCAGGTAATAGTTTTTAAGTGGAAACAAAGGAAAACACCCAAGATGAAATTTAACATTTGCTACTTGAACTTCGCTAGGCTTTGGGAATTTTTTTTCTCCCATATCATAATTAATGGAAAACTTTGATTGATTGGGTGCTATAGAGATAACTATGAACTGTGACTCAGAATGCTTTCACCTTAAAACAGTTATAATGGGTATGCAGTTGGATCCTTGCAGGGGATGCTGGGTAAGATGGTAGGAGCCCTCATTTTGCAATGTCATTGTTTGTCACTGCTGCCAGGTCTCTCTGAATGTCTTCTTTGGAAAGCCTGGCCCCTGGTTTGAAGATTGTGAGCTGGATGGTGATAAGAACTCCATATTCCACGATGTTGATGGTTCAGTGACAGGATACAAGGACGCTTACGTGGGAAGAATTGACAACTACCTGATCCGCCATCCAAGCTGTGTAAACGTGACCAAATGGAACGCAGTGATCTGCAGTGGGAACTATGCCCAGGTAGGCCAGCATGCAGTGGGATGCCCGATTCCTCACCAGCTCCTCATGGCACTGCTTCTGTGAGGAGTACTCTTCAGCTCTTCAGTATGATTGATACTTTCCAAAGCATGATTTTTCTTTAGGAAAAAAAAAGAAAGAAAAAATTCATTAGGAATCATGGACTCATAGAATTTTATTTAAAGCTCCCTCACTCCAGACCAATTTAAGAAGTGGAAAAGTGGGTCCAAGAGAGATGAGATGATTTGCCATTGGTTAAATATAGTTGGGAGGTAGTTGGGGTGAGAACCCATATTTCCTGAGTCTTAGGCCAGGTTTTCTTGCCATGCTATAGCTGTGTCTCCTGAGAGGGAGTTTTATTCTTTGCTTTCAGGGTCATTATCTCTACTAAATTAAGGAATATGACTTTTAAGGCAGAATATCAATAGGTCACATGGAAAGTGAGATGTTCCAGGAGACAGAGCTAGGAATTGGAAATGATTGGACAGGGGAAGAATCCAAGGAAATTCTTCAAATTATATTATGATATAATATCGATGAAAATATGAAAGGGATGATATAGATTGGGAAAGACTTCTTTGGAAACATTAAGCTAGTGTGCGTTTATTAACTGGATGCCCAGTGTAAGAGGATGGATGAATTTGGGAGGTTGTATGTTAAGAGCACAGATGCTGGAGCCAGACCACCTGGGTTTGAGTCCTGGCTTCACTATTTCCTTAAATATGAGTTGGGTAAGTTAATTAACTGCTCTATGCCTGTGCACAATGAGGATAATACTGGTTCCTCTATACGAGGCTGTTGTGAAGGTAGAATGCATGAATTTATGTAAAGCATTTAGCTTATGGCCTGGCCCATAGTGAAGTGCTTGCTGCAATTAGTATTATTTGAGGAGCAGGACTCTAGGTAGCAAAGATGATTTTAATAGTGATATTTGGATGAATGGAGGAGATTATAGAACGGAGGTACCAGTTGCCCAGAATTTTGAAGGGAGCAAAATTTGATTTCATTATTTTAGACAATTAAATGATAGGATTTAATAATAGACATCAAGGAAGATAAAAGAATAAAGGAAAAGGATAATTAGAGCATAGAGAGGAGAATTAGAGGAAGAGCAGAGATCTTCCAAGGGGATTGGGCTCTGATTGTCCCAAAGGCAGGAAGATTTGCTGCTAAATGCTCTTATTTGTAGGGTGGGTTCTTCTGGGGAAGGCGAGTTCTCTGATGTAGCCCCTCCACTGAGCTCTGGCTACTTTGCCTGTCAAGGGTGTGTGCATGGGCTCCTGCTTTTCCACTTGTTCAGCCTCCTGAGTTGTGTGTGGTTTCTACCACCTAAGCCTTCTATAGTTGGAGCTTCTTGGAGCAGAATTCTTCATTGCTCCTCTGACTTTGAATCATGACTGTTAAAGAATGCTATGATTCTTAAATTAAAAAAAAACTTCAAAAAGATTCTTGTCTATAGACAAGACAAAGGGCTTAAGAGGGATACAGATTGGAGAGATTTTTTTGGTTTATGTTAGTGGAGTATTCTTTGTTGTGAGATTTCTCATTCCTATGAGCAAAAAAAAAAAAAATATCGTACTTACTTAAGTTCTGGGAGGGACAAGAAAGGATGGAGAATTAACTATAGTAAAATAAAGAAGGAAAAAAAGTGGTTTAAAACGTGATTTCTTTTTCCCATTCATTTTATTTTTAATCAGAATTTGTCCCCTAAAACTAAGTTCACCTATCAATACCTAGGAAGCTATAGAAATTCTAGAATTAAAATAAAACAAAAACAAAAGCAAAAAGCTTGTAGTCCTTTTGTAGCTACAGTTTTAGTTAAATTTCTTGCTAGCCATGTGTATTCAGTGGTGTGTGTGTGTCTGTGTTAAAGTGGTGTGTTCTCATATAAATGTAATTTATATTTTTAAATTTTATGTAAAATTTATATTTAAAATTATTATGTGTGTCTATAAACTCTTTGGCTTTCTAATGTATGTGAGAATGTGAATCTGATCTTTCTATCTTACAAAATAGAGTAGTAATTCTATTTTTATTTGGAGATGAAGAAAGAAATAAGTCATTTAATACTTCCCAGGAGATTCTGGAATGGGAAGACCATAGGTCAGAAGTTTTCTCCTGAGAAGTTGGAGTTTGGGCTGGGAGCCCAGATCTGCAGCTATTTGTTGTTAATTAGATAATGTATAAAACTATAGATAATGAATAACACATTATCTTAGATAATGTATAACATACTTAGAGAATATATAATAATATATATAACTTAAATAATGTATAATACATCTTTATGCAAAAGACAGAAGCAACTGGATCTCAAGATAGAATAATCATTATTTAGCTATTTGTAAATATATTTTAATGGAATGTCTGCTCTCCGCTGACCCAAGGGATAAAGGTGCTCAGGAAGAAAGGTGGTAACATAATGAGAATTAAGATTACGTGTGCCATCTCAAATCCTTCTTGGATTTGGAAGAAGGCAGGATATATATTATTATTGTATTATATAATTATATGTATATGTATGTATAATTAATTATATGTGTTATATGATGCATAACCCATTATGTATTATATATAACCTATATTTTATATTATATGTAACTTATATTTGTATATAACTATATACTATAATAATATAGTATATATTTTATTAATTTATATAATTATAGGTTAAATATAAACATTCCAATAATAAATATTAAATAATATATGCAATATATATTAATATATATTCAACATATATTTAAATGAAGACAAGGAGTCTCAAAATATACATTTCCTATCTCTTTATTTTAAATCTTTAAGTGTCGGTAATACTCTTTAAGAGAAGAGTATTACATCGAAGTAGTCAAATGTAGATGAGAGTTAAGAAGATTTTATGGCTCAAAGGATGTGTGATTGAGGAATCAATATGGAAGAAACTGTAGAAATGACAGAAAGAAAAATAGAGAAGTATTATGGATTAAATGTAATATTTTGCAAATGTTTTAATACTCCTAGAGACTTGAGCTACAGGACACGGATTTGTTTTAAGAAATCATCCTGAGGTTTGTTCTTTGGAGGATGCGTTTAGGGAAGGTTTTGTTTTGGCACAGCAAGGGGCTCAAATGCCACTGGAATAAATACAGGACTTTTCAAATTTGTCTCAGTTTAATGTTTTTCCAGTTTTTGCAGAACGCTTTATAAACCCTTATTTTTTATTTATTTTTTTTTTTGAGTGGGTGAAAAATGACTTCTTGGGCTGATGTAGGTCATGGAAAATTGGAAGCCAAAGCTCTAAGATATTTAAATTTTCCATCTCTTGTTTTAGAGGCAAGTCTCTCAGATTTGTCTAGAGGGTATCAGTTTTCACATTAATTTACCAATTTTTTGTATATATGTTGTTTAGATTGAGGAATTTCTCTGACAAGCAATATAAGCCACAAAGGTTTCATATTCTGATGAATTCACTGGCCGGTTGTGGTGGAAGAGATGATGAAGGTCTTGGCTAGCTGAAGGCATGGTCTGTTTTTACCATTTCAGTTAAAGCAGGCTTCATTATAAGGGTAGCTTAGGATGAAGTTGGCTACTACTCATTTAGTCTGGCACAGATCTCAGAATCTCTCTTTTGCAAGTACAGACACTTGACTTTGTGCTGGAAATGTTTATTTAGCTATTTAAACTTTCATTCTCTTCCCTTTAATTCTTAATTATTTTTTGAAGGTCTACGTGCAGACGTGGAGCACTCAGAATCTGACTATGACCATCGCACGAGATGAGTATCCATCCAACCCCATGGTGCTCCGGGGCATTAACCAGAAGGCTGCCTTTCCTCAGTACCAGCCTGTGATCATGCTGGAGAAGGGCTACACCATCCACTGGAATGGCCCGGCACCAAGGACTGCTTTTCTATACCTCATAAACTTCAACAAGTATGTTTCTATTACTGTTATTTCAAATAGTTGAGCAAGTAGTAATTTCGTGGAGAAAAATAATAACATAGTCTCCTTTGTAACAGGTAAAGAATGCCACTTTCATGTACTTTGCTCCTCTTGTGGGGAGGCTGTATATTTTATGTTGATGGAATTAAGAGATTACACAAATTGACTCCTGTCATTTTAAAAGCATTTCTTTTTCTCTATGATCAAGGTATTGTGTGCTGAAAGCCATTTAACAATAGGTTTTAATACAGTCGGTTGAATACTTTAATTCCCCATTGCCCCGATGGGAAGAAGTTTTATCTAGTGTTCCAACTGAGTACTTGGTTACCTGGGAAATTATAAGATTTTTGAGGCCAAGTTTAGACTTGACAAAAGAGAGTGGTGTGATTGATTAGTAATGTCTGCTATGGGTGAGAGGCAGAAGAGTTGTGGCACGAATGCCAGGTATTTGCCACCCCTGCCTGAAAGCATCTTTCTGTCTCTTCTTGATTTCTCAGTTGTCTATCCTAATAATATCACTTTCAATTAAAGACTCTATTTTTACCTTAATTTATTCAATCATTTACTGTGTGCCAGTAAAGATGATATAAAGATGAATGAGAAAAGTACTTGCCCTCCAGGAGGAGTTCATGGTATACAGATAGAAAAAGCTCAAGAAATCAATGAACGCAAGTAAATCAAAAAGGCTTGTTCGCCTGACTGTCATAAAGCTCTGACTTTCCAGAATGCTCTTAAAGCACCCACTTGAAATTAACAGAGGTGGACGTAAAACATGTAGGAATTTAGCTTTAAGTAGGTTACTTCTAAGGATGGGTGAACATCATGGTGGATGGTGCCCTTATTCTGAGATGGTTAGGCCTTTGGCACATGCTCTATACTGAACCGTTGCTGTTTTCCCGTCGCACTTGCTGCTGCTTCTCTATGTCCTTGCTGGAGAATCGTACCCCCACCTACTAAGTCAACCGAGACAAAAATCCCAAAAGTCCAAAAATCAAGGACTCATCCTTGACTCTTCCTTTTCTCTCGTCTCTCCATCCCATTAGTGACCAAACTCTGCTGGTTATATCTCCTTAATGTCATTCACATCTCGCCACCTGTTTCCACCTCCACTGCTTGTGACTGAGTTCAGGCCATCATCCTCTCTTTCCTGGATCCCTGCAGTAGCCTCCTCGGTCTCCCCACCTCCAGTCTTTAGTCCACATTGTGTCCAGGGTGAGGTTTTTAAAAGCCCAATCTGATATTATCGCTCTCACCAATGAGCTGCGGAGAAGTCAGCGAAAGAAGCAAATGATTATATGGACCGAGGAGAAATGTCACAGAGTGGGTGATAATCCCAAAAGTTGTATCTGGCAGGTTATGAATCTGAGGTGAGGTATTGCAATCAGGTGGTATGCAGGCTTCTGTAAGTACCACACATAACTTTTGAACAAATATTGAGCAAGTGAAAACATTTTAAAGTGAAGAAAAGGTGAGCCCAAAAGTTTCAAAAATTCATATGGGCTTGAAGTTCAGTCAAACTTTCCTTGTTTTAAAAATTACATCATAGGCAGAGGCAAGAGGAAGAGATGGACAATTTTTTTCCCCAAATTTAATATAATTACAGAGAGGTCATAGATTTTGTCATAGTGCCACTTCTGAAAATAACACTTTAGAAGTTATAAAAGCTGTACTTATTCATTAAAAAACAAAATAAGGAAAATACAGGAAAACGTAAAGAAAATTGAAATAACCTATAATTCTTCTAATCACAGTGAGGCATTATGAATATTTATAGTATTCTCCTCTCTCCTCACCCTCCAGTGTTTTCTGAGCACATAGATACACAAAAATTTATTGAACTACTCCCTCCCCCATGAACATTTAGGTTGTTTTTCTTTTGCCCACCTCCACCCCCTTTTTGCTATTATATATGATACTGCATAGAACATCTTTTCTTATACATATTTGTTCTGCATTTATAATTATCATTTAGTGGGATTACTGGATGAAACCTGTGTGAACAATGTTAAGGCCTTGTTACATATTGTTTAAAAATTCTTTAGATTGATTAAAAAGTTTTGGAACTGGATGATGGAGATGGTTGCACAACCTTGTGAATGTACTTAATGCCACTGAACTATAGAGTTACAAATGGCTAAAATGGTAAATTTTTTGTTATGTATATTTTACCACAACTTAAAAAATGCCAAAAATAAAAAAGGGGAAATTGGGGCCAGCCCTGGTGGCCTAGTGGTTAAATTCGGTGCACTCCGCTTTGGCGGCCTAGGTTTGGATCCTGGGCGTGGACCTACACCACTCATCTGTTAGTAGTCATGCTGTGGCTGCAGCTCACATAAAAGAAAAAAAGAGGAAGATTGGCAACGGATGTTAGCTCAGGGTGAATCTTCCTCAGGGAAAAAAAAAAGGGGGGAGGGAAATATTTTTAGCGGTTTCCAGAAAGTATTTTATATGTAAGGACATTAGGTAAGAAAAAACACTTTGGCAATTTGGTAATATGCATCAAAAGCTTTAAAAATACATATACCTTTATATCCAGCAATTTTACCACTAGGTATTTATCCTAATGTAATAACGAAAGATAAAAATAAATTTATGAACAACATAATTCTTTGGAAAGATTTTACCAGTGTACACTTCCGTTATCAGACTGTTGTGTTTCTTCCATCTTAGTACACCCATACCCAACCATGTTTCTTAATTTTATTATCTGCTTGCAGTGTCTAAGTACATTTTATCCAACTTCTATTCACATTCCCTGAAGTCCTGTTGAAACCAAGAAATTTTTGTAAGCCATATTATTGTAAATATATTGATAAGGGAAATTTAAGTCATATATAAAGGGGGATGATTTGTTAGTATGTCAGAGTTCAGGACTTCCATTGTTAGTGGCTCAATACAAAGCAGAAATTTAAGGAGGAGAATATCAAGGCTAGTGTTTACATATGCTGTAATACTCAAAATACATTGGCTCAAACGTGAATTCATTTTTTAATTGTCCCTTCTTTATAGGAACGACTGGATTCGAGTTGGCCTCTGCTATCCATCCAACACAAGTTTTCAGGTTACCTTTGGCTTTTTACAGCGGCATAATGGCTCATTATCCAAAATGGAAGAATATGAGCCTGTGCATTCACTGGAAGAATTGCAGAGGAAGCAGTCTGAGAGGAAATTCTATTTTGACTCCAGCACGGGGTAATTCGGTGCAACTAGTGAATGAGAATTATTGCTATTTTTCTTTATTGGTGAAATTACTAGTTCTTCAGCGTAACTAAGAATAGGCTGTGACGTGACGGCTGTTTAGAAAAGCAGCTGATGTGGGTAATTCTCTGCTCATCGCTATTAGAGGTTTCGAAGAGAACTAGAATGATTCGTATTTATAGTTGGCAGTAGGAATTGAGTGAAGATGTTTGCTGTATACCTATTAAGGCAATTTAGGGAGAGAAATTATCCTTGTCAGTGAAGAACCAGTAGGCCCAATTGAAAATTAAAAAAATTTTTTCCATAACAACTCTTAACATGATTATTTATATATGATATAGTTCATATTTCCGTGAAAGCTCATTTCTCTCTTCCTTTAAGGCTATCTCTCAAGTTGACCTTGAATTTTTAAAAATCACTGTATAACCATGGCATATTTGCTTTCAACTTTCTCTAGGCTGCATCTTTCCACTTTTTAATTCTAATCCTGTTCACCTGGGGTCCTGTTGGCTTTGTCTGCTTTTATCCAGTTACAGTCTCTCAGCCTTTGGGTTATGGTAGGCTTGATCTCCTGTACTCTTCCAGCAAGTAGCATGCTCCTTCAATATCCATTCCTTAAGCTGACATTCCTGCTAGATGCCATTGTTTAGGTACCGTAAAGATACTGATGTAGGTAAGACGCATTTCTTCTGCGAATTCACAGTCCATTGAAGGTTGTGGGCATGTAAAGCAAGTAATTAGAGAGCGAAAGATTTAAGTGTTGTAAGTCCTATAGTGGGATATTCAGTGTGCCTTTTGAGGTAACCCAGAAGTTCAGTCTAGGGTGACCAGTGACATCCCAAGAGGGTGACACTGGGGCTGTCTCTTGAGGAATGTGTAGGAGGAGATGGAAAAAGAGATGAGTAAGGTGTCCCAAGAACAGCGTGGATAAGTGCATGGAGGCATGCAAGAACGTGGCATGGCATGTCTGGGGAAAGATGAAAGTTCAAACTGGGGAGAAGGGTGGCAAGTTTAATTGGGGGAATGAGGTTTGAGGTTCTGTCAAGTGCCTTGTTAACCTTTGAATAAGGTGTAACTCATTCGCCCTCCAGGGCCCCTCCAGCAGCCAGTGTGATCAGCTTAAATCTTTTCTTATCATAATTGTCTCTGATTTCAATTTCTAATTAGACTTAAACAGGCTACTTGGACTTTTATTCTATAGATGACAGAAGTTCCACATTCCCAGTTGATTTTCCATAAAAATAAATGGAACACCCAAATTTGTAAGGACAATCTGGTGATCACAAATTAATGATTAAATGTATAACAAGATGGGAAATATTTCTTCATTTGGGTATTTCTAGAATCCCTCAGCCTTCGAGGTTCTAAATCTTTTTAATTCTGTTCATTTTGATGATTTTAATTATATATCAAAAGGCCCATGCCTAGTCAGGTCCTGGTCATTCCTTATGTATAAATGTTAAAATTACTGGATATTGGAACAATGGTTGATTTTTACCTCATAATTGCAACTTTGCATTGTTCATTGACCTCATATTAAAATGTGAATTCTTGATCTCCAGTAATCAATCACATTTGATCAAGTCCTTTAGAATCTTGACTTCCTTGGTTTAAGATGTTGGACTGCTGCCTGGAAGTTACTTTTGCATTCATCTTGGCAGTAGGAGGATAATTCAGAGTGGGTGGGACTGTTCATTTCACTTGATTTTGGCCAAAATACAGACAGAAGGACCCCAGGCCCATCTGCTCTTAGTAAGCATCACAAGAATTGATTTGAGACCGTATCTTGGCCTTAGCCAAACAAGTCACAGTTGCCGTTTTTAGATTCCAATTCTGTACCTTAAACCAAAATGATTTATAAACCAAAAAAATAATAAATAAAAAAAAAACCACACTAATTTACTGAATCCTAAACTTAAAACAAGCATAAAGTTTTCCAAGGAATTTTTGAGCCAAGCCAAATTCCGTCCTCCCAAATTACCTATTGAACTAATTCAAACCAGAAATCAACTTTGATATCTTCCAGAATGACTGAATCAGGTTATCAAAATATTTTCTAAAGCAGTATTGCATTTGACTCAGGACCCTAGGAGGATAGAAAGGAAAGAGAAACAACTTTATTAGTTTTGTAATTTATTTTTCTCTTAAGGAAAAGTTACTTTATTGGAGAAATGTTCTTTTTGGCCATGAGTCAATTTGAGGAATTTTTGTAAGTTTTTGAGAGTCAGTCTAACACCCAGTGGATTGGTTTCTGTTTTGTGCAGGTTGCTATTTTTGTATCTCAAAGCCAAAAGCCACAGGGATGGCCACAGTTACTGTTCATCTCAGGGATGCGAACGAGTCAAGATCCAGGCAGCAACAGACTCAAAAGACATCAGTAACTGCATGGTCAAGGCATATCCCCAGTATTACAGGAAGCCGTCAGCACTCAAGCGGATGCCATCCATGCTCAAGGGACTCTGTCAAGGCTGCGGGACCCGTCAGGTAAACAAAGAAGAAAAGTGGGCTATGGCCAGGGAGAAAAAGTCAAAAGATTTCTTTGCAATAAGTGCATTTTTCTTTGAAACATCTATATTCCCAGTTTTTAAGTATGGTACGATTTCTCCTGAATTTCGGCCCATTCTAGAATGTGATGGTCATAAGAAGTACACTAGTCCAAATTTGTAATAACAATACCTTCCCCCTGTGATACATCAATTTACCCTGGATGATTGTGGATTTGTTGGTTGTCATCTTTTCTTTCTCAGATGTGATTCTGTTACAATGTTGCTATTGGGTTGACATGTCAGTGATGTCGAAACGTACTTTGTTATATTGGCGGTGTGAAATTTCTCTTCAGAAAATGCAACTCATATGAAAATTGTTTCCTTTTTTTAAAGTGGAAAGCCACTCTTAATTTTGAGTATGTGCTATTTTGTTTACCAGTAATTAAAAGTACAAACTGACTTTGGCTAGAAGTGAAATGCTTCTCCTCACATATTCTTAATTAGATGGTCTCCTCTGGCTCTTGAGAAAACATCACAATGAAAGTAAATCCAAAATATGAGCTAAAATCGGGTGTGGGATTTCCAAAGGAAGTTAGACTGATTCCAAGTGAGAAAGACGTATAGAGTTAATACTGCCCTAGTTAATAGTTAACATTTACACAAACAAATATAGGTTAAGGGAAATGGTTCTCAGAGTGTGGTCCCCAGACCAGCAGCATCAGCATCACTTGGGAACTTGTGAGAAATCTGAATTCTTGGCCCCGCCCCAGACCTACTGAATCAGAAACCCCAGGGGCCCAGCTGTCTGCTTTAACAAGCCCTGCGGGTGATTCTGACATATGTTCACGTTTGAGAGTCGCTGGGCTAGAGGATTTTTTTAAAAGCCAGAATTACCACAGAAATGATCCTGCCTATTAATATGGAGAAAACCTTTAAGTCTTTCTTTTCGTTTCTTATCATTCTAAGTGATTTAACAAAAGAAAAATTCTTCTTCCACTGCATAAGTTCTTTATTTCTAATTTTTCTTGTTTCTGTCCATTGGTGGCAGTAAGAGCAGGGAGAGGGAGATGGATTAATGCTTCCTGTCATGATATAGGATAAGTGTTTTTTCAATGGCAACTGACTCTCACAGTCTTGGTTTCTCATACCTCTGAGCCATCTCTGTTCTCCGATTCAACTAAAACCAAAAAACTAACAAACCAAGTACATGAAGTTTATGTGGATCCTTCCTGTCCTGTGTAATGTTTTGACTGTTAAAGTGACATTTTTAGATAATCTTTGTGGGGAAGTAAATTCTTCAGCCTGATTCTCAACCTGAATTTGTGAAGAAAGTCCTTCATTACTGAAAAGACTTTATATAATTTATAATAACAGTTATAATTCATAAAATGATTTAATCGTCACTGGAAATATTCTAGGCCTATCTTGTTAAGCGGTTCCATGCATGAATGTTTAGCATTCTTTATTCTTTGTGCTTGAAACATTGATTAGAATTCATCTTTTTAAAATGTACTGATTACTGACTTTGTGCAGTTGCAAAGGATTTGAAGCATCTGGGAGCATCACTTTTACATGGAAATTTGAGGGGAAATTTTGTTTTGAATATCAAACACAAACACATGTATATCAGGAGTAAGTAGGAAAATGCACATGAGTTTTTGACCCCAGATCTGAGATATCAAAGAAATGTGCAGCTTCTGAATGCTTAGTGTCATGATGATTATTTGCTCTTGTGATGAAGTTGTTGACATCTATTTATAATGGCATGTACTTTAAGTGCTAAATTGTGTGAGAATTAAGAGTGCTTTTGAATGAGAAGAGAGCCTTTAGGGAGGAGGGAGGGGGTGGGATTTGGAGATGGCGTGATTTGGAGGAGTAGAAGGAAACAGGGAAGGGCATTCTTGGGGAGGGGACGGCATCTGCGAAGGCAGGATGGCAGGAAGGCAGAGTGTGGGAAAGTGAGGAAACTGCCCTGCCTGCTGAATGTGACAGAACAGTGGGAAATAGGGGCTGTGCATCAGGTGTGGCTCAATTTATGGGACACTTTGCAGGTCAGGGAGAGGAATTTAGACCTGGTGATGCACAAGGTACTAAAAGTTTTTAAAGAGGATGGTCCTTGTCATCTACACTTCTTTCCTCAGTCCTGGAGTGACTGAGTGCCAATTCAGGATAACTGGTCCAAAAAGGACGTTTAAAAAAATTTGTGACTGTTTTTTGTTTACAAAGATTTAAATATAAAGCACTTTTATTTAGTCATTTGTAACAAGATTACAATTATTGGAAACTAATTGTTCCAGAAAATGAGGAACGTATACTTCTCATATTAAGCCTATATCAAAAGATGGACTTCAGCTTGTGAAATATGTATAAAAAGTTTAGGAAAAAAAAAACACCTAATGGCTTTGGTATAACTGAGTTTATTTTATTTTATTTTATTTTGGTGAGGAAGGTTAGCTCTGAGCTAACATCTGTTTCCAATCCTTCTCTTTTTGCTGAGGAAGATTGGCCCTAGGCTAACATCTGTGCCCATCTTCCTCGCTTTACATGTGGGACGTCTGCCACAGCATGGCTTAATAAGCAGTGCATAGGTCCTCGCCCGGATCCGGGTCTGTGAACCCTGGGCTGCCGAAGCGGAGCATGTGAACTTAACCACTACGCCACCGGGCTGGCCTCCATAATTGAGTTTATTTTGAGGGACCCTTTTGGAGGAAGGTGCAGTTGACATGGATGTGGAACTTCTTCCCTGTCTAGGTGGTGTTCACTAGTGATCCTCATAAGAGCTACCTCCCCGTGCAGTTCCAGTCACCCAGCAAAGCAGAGACTCAGCGCGGAGACCCGTCTGTTATCTCTGTGAGTACCATCTGGCGTGTTCACTGCTTCTGCTTCTTGCTTTTCCATTTCTTCCTGGTGACGTGAGTTATCTCTGGCACCAGTCACTTGTTTGTAATCAAATTTTGATTTTTGGTGGCAAGCAATACGGTAGAGGTATAAATACCTCCTAAACATTTGCGTTTTTAGATAAATTATTTTTATTAAATTTTTTTTTTCCTCAGTAGATTGTGTCTACTGATTACTTTTAGGCTAATGTTAAAATTTGTTCACAGTACTTTTCACTCACTAATAGCGTTACAGGTGACCCAGATTTTATTTTTGTAGGACAAAAGGCATCTTGGGCTAAAAAATAATTGCCATAGGCAATCGACATGTAGAAAACTGTGTTTAACCGTGGTTTTTGAAGCTTAAAAGAAGATCTCCAGTTGTTTGTTTAAGATATGGGAAATGAAAAAGTTTTTAAATCTCTTTGGCCTTTAATTTTGGGTTTGCCAGGCCCTCATTTTTTCAGATGAGGAAAGTGAAGATACATCTAAATGGGTTAATGGAAGAGTAGACCTGAACCTCAGTCAACACTAGCATTTGCGTTTAGAGCCAAGCTAGCCAGTGGTAAGCAGCTCTCGGCGGGTCGCTTGTCCAAAATTGGGTTGACCTGGGTGCCACCACATAAAGAGCTCTTTGGGTATCAGGTGTCTAGCCAGCCAGCTGATATGCAGCCAGGGTCGGGGCCGTGGCTCATGTGCTCCTAGGAGCTCACTTTGTTTTTTTTTTGTGTGTGAGGAAGATCAGCCCTGAGCTAACATCCATGCTAATCCTCCTCTTTTTGCTGAGGAAGAGCGGCTCTGAGCTAATGTCTATTGCCAATCCTCCTCCTTTTTTTTTCCCCCCAAAGCCCCAGTAGATAGTTGTATGTCATAGTTGCACATCCTTCTAGTTGCTGTATGTGGGATGCGGCCTCAGCATGGCTGGAGAAGCGGTGCGTCAGTGCGCGCCCGGGATCCGAACCTGGGCTGCCAGTAGTGGAGCACGCACGCTTAATCACTAAGCCATGGGGCCAGCCCGAGCTCACTTTTTTTAAGTGATGGGCAACACAATCACAAATCTACATTATGTCAACATAATTAAATCTTACTCTTTTTTTTCTTTCCCAATTTTTTTTTATTGTGTTAAAATACACATAGCATAAAATTCACCATATTGGCCATTTTTAAGTGTATAGTTCAGTGGTATGAGGTACATTCATATTGTTGTGCAATTATCACCACTCTCCATCTTCAGAACTTAAATTTGACTTTTTTAGCAACTCTGAATTAGGAATATCCCTATTCGGGGCGGGGGATGAAATGGGAGTTATTAATCAACAGGCATAAAGTTTCAGTTAAGTAAAATGCATAAGCTCTCAAGATCTGCTGTATGACATTGTCCCTACAGTCAACAGTAATGTATTGTGCCCTTAAAATTTGTTAGGAGGATGGGTCTCATGTTAAGTGTTCTTATCACAATAAAAAAAAATTAAAAAATAAATAAAGAGAATATCCCTACTTGAATGTAGCTCAAAGATTTCTCAAGCATATATTTATACCTATTGCCCTGTGTTAACGATTGTTCAATTTGTAGTGTGTTCATGATGTAATTTTATTGGCATGAAATTTGTTAGCTCAGCATCTTAATGCAGTCAGAGGCATGAAGAGCCTGGTGGCAGCCTGCTAGCTTGGTGTCTGGTGGGCATCAGTTGCATAAGGGAAGCCAGTAGACGCTGAGTGCTACAGCTCTACTAGCTCCCTAGATAGTTCAAGAGGATATCATTTTGTCCAAAAAATCTCAGGCAGGCTACACCCCAGGGTCTGAAGACATTTGACTCCATTGCTGCACGTTGGGTGCCTGGGACCCTAGAAAAGTCATAGAACACTGTGTTTTGTCATAATTACCCCCAGTACTTTTCACATGCCTTACCTAAAGAGTCTTTGCTTGGACGTGGCATCGCTTTAGTTTTTATGGAAAGTTTTGTGTTTCCTTTAAACGACAGGTTTTGGGGGATGCTTTTCAGGAGGACAGTGTGAGTGTGTTGAGGATCATTATATATTTTTTCCTAAAATGTATCTTAATTTTAAGTATTCAGATTTTTAAAAATAAGAGAATCACTTTTAGTCTTTTCATATATAAGATGGCACTTTACCTCAGGCACTTCTAGAATTATTCTCTGGGTAGAGCAATTTAAACATAGCTAAATAGCCATTTTGACTCCTGTGAGATCAGTAGTGATTAGAAATAAAATTTAAATATAATTTCCCCAAGCAAAGACAGGAGTAGTGCTGAGAGCATTTCTCCTGTGTCAGCTTTTGGCGTAGTTTAGAATGTCACACATTTTAAACAGAAACAGCGCCTATGGCTTAAATTAGTGTTGAATCATTTTTCAGCCCAGTAAGTTTTTTTCCTTCCCTTTTGGCTGAGGAATTAATGATGTTTGGGTGTGTCGGGAGTTCCTTTTTCTTGAAAAGGTCTCAAACCATTAAAGAGGACGACTGGAAATTTCACATCACAATAATTGTGAACAAAATATGGTAATACCTTGTGGCTTAAATCCTGGAAAAATTACCATTTTTCCTTTTTTTTTTTTTTTTTT